CCTTCGGATATGTCAGGCATTAGTATTTTTCAGTGGCTCTCCAATGTGCAGTCAAGGTTGGGAATCACCAGCTCAGAGCTTGCTTCCTCTCAGGAACACTGTAGTGAGAGGGAAGGGTTAGAGCTATGTTCTGTTTTTCTCACCTTCTCTAGGGGGGCAAGCACTCATGCCACAAAGGAGATCAAATAGCCATAGGAAAGCAGGCTGGGACCCCACTGGAAAGCAGGCATTGAGACATGGATGTGATGGTGCCGGTCTGGAGAAGGCAGTGATGGTCCAATGTCATTTATTTCCATGTGAATATAACAGCTTTGTGACGCTTTGGCAGAGAGAAGGATTACAGATGTAAGGAGAACATTCCTGTCTTTGGGGATGTTTATTCAAAAAAAATCTGGGGTGTGAGACACTTATGGAATAGATGACCAAAAGGTAATTAGTAATACTTGAAACATAAAAATCTCTGACAGAGGAATCTTTTGGATGCATCAGTGTGGTTTCTGCCCATATTCTGAAAAGAAAGGTGACTTTATGACCTTCTGAGAGGCCCTCAGTCTGAGAGGCCCAAACCTTAGAGAAAGGGACCTGCTCATTTCATGCCCTGGCAGAGCCCATGTTCCCAGATCTGGATTCTAATTCACAAAAGGCGAGCACTTTATCATTGATGTCTACCACTCTTGTTTTGTAGACTAGAGAGTCTCATGATTTGAAATTATGAGTTCTGGTTCCTCAATATCTTTGTTACCTCTGATCAGAGTTGTAGCCCTCTTTAGAGTATTTCAAGTGCTTTTGTATGTTTTTCCTTTGGTACATTTTCATAAACAGATTCTAATATTCTAGTTTGTTCTTTAAGCTACTTTGTAAATTAGCTCTTTTCAATTTGTCCTGAAACTCCATGTTCATTTTCTCTTTCAACAGCTCTTCACTATGCATCTAGTGTGTGCCTGGTGCTGGAGTAGGTGTCACAGATAGTTACTGTATGATGAGCTTTGGAGTGACATTTTAGTCAAAACCAATAGGGTTCTGACGTTTCCTGAATTTATAAAGTAATCCCTTTACTTGGTGGCTTAGCATTTGGTACTTTCAGTGTTTTTATCTTTTTGTAAAATTATCTTGGCTCCCCAAGTAGGCTGTAGGTTCCTGGAAGAAATAGTTTGCGTATTTTATGCTTTGTTTTCAAGCGCCTTTAATAGTTCCATGAATTATCTATAAATGGCAGCATTGGATGTTTGGGCAAGGACAAGTGACAGTTGGTAGATTTGTTAATTAAAGTTACATCCCATGTTTCTCATATGCCTTGTTTGTCATGGTCTTTGAAGATGGTGGTATAAACATTCCTGTCTTCAGTTTTAATCTAATTTTTTGGCTGAATATGCTCTTAGAATGAGAAATGAGGCATTTTCCCTGGAAGAAAATCTTGAAAGACTGTTTCCTTGTACTGGTGAGCTGTGCTGTCTAGTTGTAGGCATCTCTCTATCTGTATCTTGGATCCATGATTTCTCCTCTCTCCCTTTGTGCATAAGGTAACCTGGGTTTTGGAAAGTGTTCTAAGGGGCTCTTGGTCAAGGTCCATGTCATGCAAAGAACTGGCCCTTTCACAGCACCCTCAGGGTCTCTCAATCCTCCCTCTTCCCTCAGCCAAGAACCATCATTGGTTCCCAGTTGCCAACAGGATGAAGTTAAATTCTTTCAGTGAACCCTAGAACATCTAAGTCCTCCACCACCTGTCATCTCAACCCTACTTTTACCTTGTCTTCCATCCCTCCTGCTCTATGTCCTGGACCATGGCCTCAGCAGAAGCCTTCAGCCTTCAGGACATACCTACTGTTTGCTCTTGTTTAGAGCATTTGTGTTCATTCCTCCACCAGCCACCAGCACCCATCCCCTTTGTTTCTGCCTTACACTTCAGGTGTCCTCCAAGTCCAATACAAATACCACCTCTTCTTTAGGTCTTTCCCAAATTCTGCTCTGTTTCCATGGTATTTTGTTCAACCCCTCTTTAGAGACGATGATACCTCATTCTACTTTGTTGTACGAGTATTTATGTAAGTACTTGATTTCTTCCTTCCTCATTTCCTTCTCTCTCGTTCAGTACTCTGTGTCAAACACTGGAGTCTTGAAGATGTATAAAAAATGCTTGGTCTCTGCTCCAAAGAAGTTTGCCAGTCAGAGGGGGGAGGCAGACATGTAAACAAAGAGAATGACAACTTCATGCAAGTTATTTAAAAAAAAATCTGTTTTGTCCACTACTAATTCTAAACTGCTGACTACAGTGCTGAAAGCATAGTTGGCACTCAAGAGAGGTATGTTGAATGGGTAAATAATCTATCAGAAGTGTGTATATACATGTGTGTACATTTACATATATATATACATGTATGCTTGCAAGTGTATACAAAGTCCAGTGAGACCATAGAGCAAGAAAGACTACTGAGTCAGGCTTCTATCTCTTTCTCTCTCTCTCACTCTTGGTCTCTCACTCTTATTAGCATATATCAATTATACAAAGTGGTTTCATTGTGATATTTCCAAACATTCATACAATGTATTTTAATTAAATTCAGCTCTGCTATTACTCTTTCTTGTCCTCCTGCCCCTTTTAAAAGTAATTTTAATGGATTTCATTGTTCTATTACATACCCCTTTACCTTTTCCTTTCACCCTGTTCTCTCCCACTGGTTCCAACCCCCATATGGTCCCCCCATTTTGCACTCATACCATTCATTTTTTGTAGGTGCCGATTCTGAATATGAAAGAGAACATGTGACATTTGTCTTTTTCATTCTTCTTATTTCACTTAACATGATGATTTTCAGTTCCATTTTCCTGCAAATGACATAATTGCATTCATCATTTTTTGCCACTCAAACTTTATTTCCAGGAGTAAATATTAGGAATACATAGTGCACAGATCTACTTTAAGAATGACTCATGGGTAAATACAATATAACTTTTAGAAGATTTCACTCAGGTTGTGTGATTTCTGGACCATTCTTATTTTGTTCTTCTTTATGGTTGAATAATACTCCATCAATATACAATCTCTCTCTGTATATATACCTATGTATATAGATACACATATGCATACATAGATCTATCTATTTATCTATCTATCTATCTATCTATCTATCTATCTATCTATCTATCTATCATCTATCTATCTATATACATCTATCTATCTATCTCCAAAGGTTCTGGTAAATTGTGTTTTCATTTTCTTTCATTCCAGGAATTTTTTGGTTTCCCTCATTTCTTTGCTGACCCATTAATCATTCAAGTGAGTTGTTCAGTTTCCACATGTTTGGATATTTTCCATAGTTTCACTTGTTATTGATTTCTAGCTTCTATTTTGGTCTGATAAAATACAGGAAATTACTTCAATTTTATTGTATTCATTAAGACTTGCTTTATGTCTTATATAGGTATGATCTATTTTGGAGAAAGTTTCATGGGCTGATGAAAGTTTCATGGGCTGTGACTATTTGGTAGAATATTCTGTAGGTATCTCTTAAGTCCATTTGATCTATAGTGTTATTTAATTTTGAAGTTTGCTTATTGAGTTTTGTCTGGATGACCTGTTTATTGGTGAGAGTGGGATACTAAAGTCACTCACTGTTAGTGTATTGAGATCTATCTTTTTTTTAATGTCCAGTAGTGGTGTGCTTTATGAAATGTGGTGCTCAGATATTTGGTGCATATATGTTTACAATTGTTATCTCCTCTTGAAGGATTGGTTCCATATCAATATGAAGTGACTTCATTTTTTCTTACTAGTTTTGGTTTGAAGTCTTCTTTGTCAGATATGAATATATTTAAAACTCCTGCTTGCTTTCAGGTTCCATTTGCTTGGAAAATCTTTTTCTATTCTTTTACTCTAAGCCTATGCCTGTCTTTATCAGTGGGATGTGTTTCTCATATGGAACAATTGCTCAGCCTTGCCTTTAAATTCATTTTGCCAGTCTGTGTCTTTTGATTGGAGAATTGAGAGCATTAATGTTCAAAGTTATTATTGAAAGGTATACAGTAATTCCTGTCATTTTATTGGTTTTGTGGTGCTTGAGCCTTCCTTACTCTTAATTTGCTTCTCCACTCATCTAGTGAGATATGTTATTTTCTATATTTTTCGTGGTTGTGTTTATCTTCCTCTTTTGTAGGATTTCTTTAAGTGTCTTTGGCAGTGTTGGTTTAGTGATCATGAATTGCTTTAGTCATGAAAAGTTTTTATTTCTCTTTCAGTTATGAAGTCTAATTTTTATGAGTACAGTAATCTAGGTTGGCAGTTATTTTCTTTCAGGGCTTGATAAAACCACATTTCATGTCTATTGTGTGGAGAAATTTGCTATTTTTCTGGTGGGTTTGCCTTTATGGGTTTTTGGTGTTTCTCTTGCAGCTTTCAATATTTCTTTTCTTGTTCTTTATGACTAATGTTTTAACTGTAAAATGATATGGGGAGTTTCTTTTCTGTTCTTGTCTGTTTGGAGTCCTAAAAACCTCCTGTACATGGATAACCATCTCTTTCTCAAGATTTGGGAAGTTTTCTGCTATTATTTTATTGAATATGTTTTCAATTCCTTTAGCTTGGACCTCTTCTTCTACACCCATGATTTATAGCTTTAGTCTTTTCATGGTGTTCCTGGGGTCTTGCACAATCTGTTGGTACTTCCTTAGTCTTTTTCCTCTATTTTCATAGCATGTTCTAATACATCTATCTTCTTTTTGAGTCCTAATATCCTGTCTTCAATTAGATATAGTGTAGTGAAGAGCTTTGAACTTATTTGACTTACTGAGCTTTTCATTTCCAGAAATTCAATTTGTTTTTTCCCTAGAATTATATTGATTAGAGACTTGAGCCATTGTACCCTGCCTGACAAATATTTCTTTGCAGTGTGTTGTGCTCTGATACAACCATCATGATAATTACTTCTTGGTATACAATAAGATTTTTCATATTGAAATCAGTTTCTTTTTTCACAGAAGAAAATCACAAAACCTCCATTAACACAATGAGGATCCAACTAATTGTGTTTGCCTTCATCCTTTGGACTGAAACATTGGCAGATCAGAATCCAGGTATTTTTAATGTTTGTTATTATTTGGGAAACATTGATATTTTTATGTCTCATCAAGCTTTATTTTAATAGATAAAGAATTTATTTACTAAAAAATGAAAGTACAAAGCACTCAGTAGTGTTGTAGTACACAATACCAAGCAAACAATCTCTCAAAGGTGACACAAACCCATGGGCAAAAACCACAAATCATTTTATTTTTTAGAATTACTTAAAATAATTTATTTACATGCATGCCCATGTGCATTGTTGCAAAGAGAAGTTCATAAAAATTGTAAACTAAGTGAAAAGGATGTATAGAACTCCATTTTTGTAAACAAACTGAAACCATGCAAATATTTAATAAAAATATAAACATGAGCAAGAATAACCATTTTACTAATTGACTTGAGCTTGGTAATATGTAAGGATGAAGAAAAGGAAAAAATCATAAATTATGCTACACTTGGCTATAAAAAATTCATTTGGTCATTGGTTTGCTAAAGTGTCACTCTTTCCCATCCCTATGAACACATCAACTCATTTGTTACAGGTCAGTTCATATCTTGGCCTTAATAAGTGGAAGAAACTTAACCGCACACAGAAAACATTTTTTTTTGTGTGGCTAAACCATTGTTTTCTTTTTCTTTTATAAACATGAAGTTAGCAGATTGAGTATCCCAAGTCCAAAAGTCTCTGATATGAAATGATTAAAAAATCCAGAACTTTCGAGCATTAACATAATCCCATAAGTGGAAAATTTCACACTTGAGCTCATGGGACAGGTCACAGATAAAATGCAGGCACAGTAAAAATATTGTATAAGATTTACCTTTAGGCTATCAGGGAAGAGGAAAGGGACCAGTGGGAGGGGGAAGGGATAAGAGAGGGTAATGAGGTCGAATATGATCAAAATACTTTATGTACATGTCTGAAAATGTCATAGCAAAACCCTAAAATGTTATAGCAAAACCCTAAAATGTTATTTCAAATAAATAACCTTCAGGCTATGTGTCAATATTACCTATACCTCACCTGCTGGCTTTCCCCAGAGTCTCCTTACCCACAGGGTTATACCCATAACCCTCTGTTCTCTCCCTCCAGTTCTCAAGGATTATCTGCAGCTGACAACTCATGGAAGAGTGCAAAATTTGGTCCCCTTGCCTCAGAGAGGGGCACCTCTGTGCTATTACATGCTCCAGAGTTGCCTGCAGACCAGACCACAGCCAGACCTCACCTGATGTCATCCCTCTTGGCTCTGTGTCCTGTCCTCAGTGACCACTCCCCCACAGAAAATCCCTGCCTCTATCTCTGCTTCTAAGCTTGCCAGCCCAAGGCAGCTGCTCACTCTATGCTGTTCCAAAAGTTGCTGTTAGTTCTCAGGCCTTTCTAGGACTTTCTGGGATGCTATCATGTTATTTATTCTTTAGCACAATGTCAGAGTTTGGGCTCCCAAACTGAAAAACATAAGTTAATTGCCTCTGGCATAGAGCTGAGAAAGAAAAATCTGTTGGCTAACTTCACTGAAGTCCTCTTGTTTGACAGTTTCTTCTGTTGGACTTTCAGAAGATACTTTTGTTGGAATTCTAGCAGATGAGAATATAGGTCCTAAGGGAGTACTGGGGTCTAAAATATAAAGGCTGAACAATAACTTATTTTTTTTAATTGGACAGGGCCAGGACCTGAGTATGCAGATGTGGTGTTCCTGGTGGACAGCTCTGATCACCTGGGAGTCAAGTCCTTCCCTCTTGTGAAAACATTCATCAGCAAGGTGATCAACAGCCTCCCCATCGAGGCCAGCAAGTACCGGGTGGCCCTGGCCCAGTACAGTGACAGTCTCCACAGTGAGTTCCAGCTGGACACCTTCAGGAGCAGGAACCCCATGCTGACCCACCTCAAGAAGAACTTCAGCTTTCTGGGCGGCTCCCTGCGGATAGGAAGTGCCCTGCGGGAGGTGCACAGGACCCACTTCTCTGTCCCCACCAATGGAAGGGACAAGAAACAGTTTCCCCCCATCTTGGTGGTCCTGGCTTCCGCCGAGTCTGAGGATGAGGTGGAAGAGGCTTCGGAGGCCCTGCGGAGAGACGGGGTGAGAATCATCTCCGTGGGGGTGCAGAAGGCCCCCGAGGAGACCCTGAAGGCCATGGCCACAGATCAGTTTCACTTCAACCTTCGGACAGCCCGAGACCTCAGCTCGTTTTCCCAGAACATGACGCAGATCATCAAGGCTGTGACCAAGTACAGGGAGGAAGCCACTGACACTGATGTAGAAGGTGACATAAAAGGTACGGCAGCCCTCTGTTGAAGAGGCACTCCACTTCCATGAGATCCATATCTTTCTGCCTCATCTATCTCAGCTCCTATTTGGTTGTCATAATTAGCTTGGACTTACGTTGTTTCTCTGACAAGAATTCTATTATACTTTTTTGCCTTCTTACAGCTGAATAATTCCTTCAGTATTTACTTTTTAAATTTAAATTTAATTTTTTTGGGGGGAGCAGTATTGAGGTTTGAACTCAAGCCCTCATACTTGTTAGGCAGGTCCTCTTCCACTTGAGCCATGCCGATTTATTTTTAGTATCGGGTCTTATGTCTATGCCTGAGCCAACCTAGACTCCCATCTCCTACTTACAATTCCTGTGTGGCTAGGATGACAGGCGTGTGCCACCATGCCTGGCTTTTTCACTGGTCGAGATGCAGTCTTGCAAGCTTTTTTGCCTGGGCGGGGCTTGAGCAGTGATCCTCTTGATATCCGCCTCCAGAATAGCTAAGATTCCAGATGTGACCCTCTGTGCTAGGCCTCCTTCATCATTTAAATCTCAACCCTACACTCCTTGCCCTTGGAATGCTTTCAAATTTCTTTTTGGGTCCCACAGTTCCTTGTGCACACCTTATGACAGCAGCTTTCCCCATAATTATCTACTTCTATCTCCTGTGTTGTTCTCCCTACCTCGCCCCCCCCAATACCTGCCAGCAATGAACTGGTAATACCAGGGGGGCAGAATTGACAATTTGTATTTATCTCTGTATTCTTTGGGCCTAGACAATGAATTGGTGTTCTATTTCCTAATGGATGACTAAATAAGAGTCTTCCCATTACAGAAACAAGACCCTTGCATGTTTTCTTGCCCTCACAGACCTGGTTCAGTGTGAGGTACACAATAAGTATTCAATAAACGTCCATTGTTTAAAATATAGCAATACCCAATTGGGATGAATAACCTTAGAACGAGATGCCTGTTAACACAAGTTTAAGCTTTGTGTTCAGCCAGGCAGAAAAGGGGAGACCCAGGGCTGTTCAGTCTGGCAATGCGTTGGGCTGCAGTCTTCAACCTGTGTCCCATCTCTTCCCGTGCCACTTTTTCCCTTTGAGCTACCTCTTGGTGTTCTTTCTGTGAGTTTCTGTGCAGAATTCACAGTTCTACATGCTTGAATCCTTCAGTTCACATTTCAACCCAATTGTGATCTTGTCAGAGATGTCTTGCCTGACTTGTTCATGTCTTAGGTAAGTTAGAGTCCCCCCAGCCCCCATCACATCCCCAGCAGAGTTCAAGCGATCTGTTTTATTCCTTCCTTTGCACTTATTATTGTCTGAAATAATCTAGTTTTCTGCCCTCCCCTTACAATGAGAGCTTCCTGAGATCAGAAAAGAGGTCAGAGACATCTCTGCTAACTCATGCTTGTATCCCAGCGTGTGAGAGTGGCAGTGGCAGTGATAAAGTCAATGGTGGTTATTGTGGTAGTCCCAATCCTAGTGAAGGTGGGTGTGTGGTGATGGTGGAGGTGGTTCTCTCGGTAATGAACATGGTAGTGGTAGTGGGCTAACTGGTAATGAAGCCGAGTATAGAGGCACTGGCAGTGGTGATGGTCATGCTGCGGGTGGAGGTGCTGGTGGTGATGAATACGCTGGAATGAAGGTAGTTATGGTAGTTATGGTGAAGAGGTAGATGATGATGGTAGTGGGGTGTGGTGGAAAAACTGGTATTATTCTTCACATAAAAGGAGCAATAAATGCAAAGCCTTTGGAGTTAATGACCTTGTAAGTCTTGTTCAGATTTTTGATCTGTTCACTGAAGGAAAGCTGCTCACTATGTCTGTCACGACTACCTCTCTTTTCACCAGTGGGCAATGGAAGTGCCTTTCTTGCTGTGGGCCAGTGGTTTCTACTAATCCTTGTATCTTTTCTCTCTCCATAGCTCCCTTTCTTGTATCCTGTCAGAAAGATTCACTTGCTGACATTGTGTTCCTGGTGGATGAGTCACTTGGGACGACACAAAATTTAAGGAACCTGCAGAAGTTTCTGAAGAACATAACCCACTCCATAGATGTGAAGGACAGCTGTATACGACTTGGACTCATGAGTTACAGTGACAGTGCACAGACCATTTCTCTTCTGAAATCAAGCACCAACCAATCTGAATTTCAGAAGCAAATCAGGAAACTGTCCCTCCAGGCTGGAAAATCCAATGCTGGGGTCGCCATTGAACAGATGAGGAAAGTAGCCTTCTCAGAGTCCAGTGGCAGCAGAAAGACACAGGGGGTCCCTCAGATTGCCATCCTGGTCACCCACAGACCGTCAGATGATGATGTGCGAGAGGCTGCATTGAACCTTCGGCTGGAGGGCATAACTGTGTTTGCTATGAGCATCCAAGGGGCTAACCAAACTCAGCTGGAAGAAATAGCATCATACCCTACGGTTCAGAAAGTCTCCACACTCAACTCCTATGTAGACTTGGAGCCATACAGCAGGAACTTCTTGAAAAAGATTGAGAATGAAATATGGACTCAAATTTCTACTCAAGCTGAACAAGTGGAGCTAGATAAAACTGGTATGCTTTAAAAAATACTTTTTCTTATTACCCAGGTAATATGACTGGCTGTCTAGGGTTGAGGTAGGAGTGAGGATTGAACATCATTGAATAAGGGGATTTTTAGACTAATGGAATGTCCTAAAACATGATGCCTATCCAACTTTATAAATTTATTAAATTCCATTGATCAATACTTAAAGTGGGTCAATTTCATAGCATGTCATGCCTTAAGAAAATGTAAAAAAGTAATATGTGTTGATTGTAAGTTTTTGGAGGGGTTGAGCTCAGGGTTTCACACTTGCTAGGCAGGCACTCTACCACTTGAGCCACACACCCAGCCCTTTTCGCTTCAGTTATTTTTGAGATAGGAACTTGCTTTTTGGTCATGCCAGTCTGGACCATGATCCTTCTATTTGTCCTCCCCGGTGTAGCTGGGATGACAGGCTCACACCACCATGCCCAGCTATTGTCTGAGATGAGTCTTGCAAACTTTTTGCCTGAGCCAGTCTCAAACCATGGTCCTTCTTATTTCAGCCTTATAAGTAGCTAGGATTACAGGCTTAGTCTCCAAAATATTTTGATATCATGAAAAGGCATTAGAAGAAAATAAGATCACTTGTAATCCTATTGTGATAAAACTGTTAATATTTATTTCTCCTATCTTTTAGTTCTTTCTCTCTTTGTCTGTCTGTCTCTCTTTACTCATTCTGCTCGTGCACACATAGACCCATACAGACACCTCTTAAATCATTGTATATCAGTGCCGGCCAGCAGAACTTTCTGTGCTGATGGGAGTATTCTCCATCTACACTTTCCAGAGAGGCAGCCACCAGCCACCAGCCACACGTGGCTATTGAGCACTTGAAATGTGGGTACTATGACAGAGGAACTGAAGTTTGAATGTAATTTAATTTGAGTTCATTTTAATAGTCACATGTGACTGGCAACTGTTGAATTGGATGGTTCAGGCAAGCATGGTAAGATAACTTGTATCCGTTGCAGTCACTTATGGGTCTAACTAAGGAGAAAACCAAAATAAGAGTGATTGCAATGGGGAAAATTATTTACTGTTTCACAATTAAGTCCAAAGGTGGGCACACTGAGCTGTGTGGTACACCACCGTGTCAGAGGCCCTGTCTAGGGCCATTCTTTATTGTTGCTTTTTGCTGTTTGAGGCCTTTATTCCTAAGACTGTAGTTCCAGATGACTGCTCCTAGCACACTCACATCCAGCAAGCAAGAAGGGAAGGAAAAGGGAGGTCCACATCTCCTTTTCTTTAAGGACACTCCTGGAAGTGACACACACCATTTCTGCACAGAACTTGGTCATGTGTCACACTACTTGTAAATAGGGCTGCTGGGAATTGTAGTCTTTTTTGGGGGGAGGCAGCTAAATACTGAGGTCAAATGGGGATTTAATTAGCATAGAAGAAGAGAATGTCTATTGGTGATAACCAATATTGTCTACCTCACCTACTTGTCTGTCAACCTTATATCGTGAACTTGTGTCTATCACCTTAAATATTCTTTTAAGGTTGCCAGTAAGACTTTCCACTGTATAGATTTACTGCATTGGAAATGGTGGAGTACACAGGTTTTGCTTTTTTAAGAATCTTGAACCTGTATCTTTATGCCCAACCACGATTATTTCTTTACATTTTGATCTTTTTTATTGCTTATTTCTTTCATCACCCGAGTGAAGAATATTCTGGTTGAGATGGTTTGTGAATCTGCTCTAGTTTACTGAGCTCTATTCAAAGGTACCTGTCAGATTCCTGATGTGACTGTGAGCTTATCTAATTCTGTGATGTCGCCTGCTTCACACATTTTCTCTGCAGATAAAAGGCTTTCAAGCCATTGAAAGTGGGATTTGTCAGCACTCATACAGAAGAGAATTATAATCTTCAGATGACATTAATTGCTAGTTTAAAACTCAGACCTGTCAATTAAAGACAGGTTGCATTCTGGGCCAGCCCTGGGCGCTATGGCATGGGTGTATTACAATTCTCTTGTCACTTCCTGAGTGACAGATAGGAGAAACAGTCAGAGTGACTGTCATCTTGGTCTGAAATCAATTATTAGGGCATGGGATGGATGTGCTGTGTGGTCTCTCTCTCTCTGAGACTCTGCAATGGTGTGATGAAACTATTATTGTCATTATAAACATTTAAGTGGGAAGATATGTGACCAAGACTGGGGCAAGGGCCATTCAAGGGGGAGAGATAGCGTCCATAAGGCCTCACTAGGTGGCTTCCCCTTAAGTCCGTTGCTTTCTCAAATGTTGGCACCTGATATAGGTTGGGTGAGTAGATCCATTCAAAGAACAGAAACTGGTTAAAGCACAGTGAGTGAGATGAACTGTTGGGAATAGGGTCAGAGAGAAAGGCAAGGGTGAAGATAAGGCTAATTTTTATCTTTAAATTCTAAATGCAACGATAAACCATTTAAATGGAAGAGTCATAGGATCTGTTTATGGCTTTCAATATACTGTTCTAGTTGCTCTGGGAAGAAGAGGTTGTTGTGGAAGTAAGAATAGAAGATTATCATCTGGGCATGGTGGCTCATACCTGTAATCTCAGTTTATGTGGAGGCAGAGTCCAGGAGGATCATGGTTTGAGGCCAGCCCAGGCAAAAAGTTAGGAGACCTCCATCTCAACAACAACAAAAAAGCATAGCATGGTGGGGCATGTCTGTAATTCCAACTCCATGGAAAGCAGAGATAAGAGGATGGCGGTTTGGATTGGACTATGAGCACATGATAAAAGCGAGAGCACATAAGGGAGGGGTGAGGATAGGTAAGACACCTAAAAAACTAGCTAGCATTTGTTGCCCTTAATGCAGAGAAACTAAAGCAGATACCTTAAAGCAACTGAGGCCAATAGGAAAAGGGGACCAGGAACTAGAGAAAAGGTTAGATCAAAAAGAATTAACCTAGAAGGTAACACCCACGCACAGGAAATCAATGTGAGTCAATGCCCTGTATAGCTATCCTTATCTCAACCAGCAAAACCCCTTGTTCCTTCCTATTATTGCTTATACTCTCTCTACAACAAAATTAGAGATAAGGACAAAATAGTTTCTGCTGGGTATTGAGGGGGGGAGCGGGAGGGGGTGGAGTGGGTGGTAAGGGAGGGGGTGGGGGCAGGGGGGAGAAATGAACCAAGCCTTGTATGCACATATGAATAATAAAAGAAAAATGAAAAAAAAAAAAAAAAAAAGAGGATGGCGGTTTGAGGCAGGCTTTGGGCAAAAGCATGAGACCCTATCTAAAAAAAGACCTACATGAATGAAAATACCTAAAACAAAAAGGGTTATGGCTCAAGTGATACAGCACTTGTTTAACAAGTGTGAGGACCAGAGTTCAAACCCAGAACTGCCAAAAAACCAAACCAAAACAAAAGCAACTTGACTTAGAGCCTGCCCTTACTCTTTAATTGACTGGCTGTGTGACCTTAGATAAACCACTATGCCTTGCTGTGTTTCAATTTCCTCCCAAGATGGTTGTAGATTTCAAAGGAGAAAATGGTCACGTGTGCTCCTGGTGACGTGTACAAGCTCTGCACACCCAGGGAGGTCTCATGCTTTAGACTTGCACACCTTGTGTTCTCCCAAGGCCCTCTTGCAAGACCTCTTGAGAGTTCCTATAATTAACAGAGAATGTGCTATCTACCTTCCGTGTCTTTGCAGGCTGCGTGGACACAAAGGAGGCCGATATCTATTTCCTCATTGATGGTTCCTCCAGCATCCAGATAAATCAATTTGAGCAAATCAAGCTATTTATGTCATCAACAGTAGACATGTTTAGTATCGGTCCCAACAAAGTCCGAGTTGGAGTGGTGCAGTACTCAGATACGAACAGGGTGGAATTTCCCATCTCTCTCTACCAAAATGGTATCGACTTGAAAAAGGCTGTTTTTAACATCAGACAAATATATGGTGGCACTCGTACTGGGGAAGCCCTGGATTTCATACTGCCAATTATCAAGGAGGGGAAGAAGGACAGGGGCAGTGAGGTCCCCTGTTACCTCATTGTACTGACCGACGGACAGTCCCAGGACAGGGTTCTGGAGCCAGCAGAGAGGCTCAGGGCCCAACAAGTCACCATTCATGCTGTTGGCATAGGAGAGGCCAATAGAGCAGAGTTGGAGCAAATTGCCGGCAAAGAAGAAAGGGTTAGCTTCGGGCAGAATTTTGATTCCCTAAAAAGCATAAAAGATGAAGTCTTGCACAGTATTTGCACTGAAAAAGGTAAGCAAAACAAAATAAAATTCTCCATATTTCACTGATGGTTTCGGGTTGGTGAGTGGCAGAGCCGGGACAAAGTGACATGCCCAACCATCTGGCTAAGTTTGTCGATTTCTTTTTATCACCACCCTAAACGGAATGCCAAGACTGGAGAGCCTGCATGGGGAGCTGCCCTGAGGCTGCTTGGAGGCTCTGAGTAGGAAGACTGCTGAGGAAGTTGTGTACCTAACAACTCTTTGTGGAGCGAGGTTCTTATGCTACCTGCGAGGGGTGTGTGTGTGTGTGTGTGCGCGCGTGCGGTGGGGTACTTAGAGAAGGACCTGGCACACAGTAAGTGCCGCATAAAAGTCAGCTGATGCTGGAGATGAATGTAGCTCAGTGGTGAGTGCTTGCCTCACATGTACAGGGCCCTGGGTTTGATCCCCAGCACTGCATGCAAAAGCTAGTTGTCACAGAAGGTAGTTCAAGTGTTCACAGATGAGGAAAGGAAGCGAATGTGAAATGTGTTTGAATTTTCTGTGGGTCACTAAAAAAACAAAAAAACCCAAACAAGTAGTATTAACAACAGAATCCTTAGGTCACAGTATGGTCCACTTTTCTCCCTGTTACCGGCAATAATAGAGTTGGACCTTCAGGATGTCTAAGAAAGAGTACAAGAGTAAAAGTTTTCCATTGTTTCCTGAAGTTGATGCCAGGAAAAGGATGTCAGGAGGCATAAAGGAGATTATAACTCAGATCCTTTCAAAGAAGGTTCTGTGCTGATCCGAGGAGTACAGCGCCTCTGTTGCAGGTCAGGTAGCCATGTGGAGAAGGAGACAAGCTGTGGACAAGAAAATGAATCTTAAGATGGCTACTGGAGAGGAGGCATCCTTAGGAGCCTGAGCCTGAGGGCTGAGAAGGTACTAATGCATCTCAGAGCAGGCGCAGGCAGAGTGAGGCACAGTGTATCAGAATGGGGCAGATTGAAGTGCTCTACCAAAAAGACTCCAAACTGTATACTGCAGAACATTCTAGTCTAGGGTGAGTAGTTCAGATCTAGCAGAGAGGCGGGTCCATCCTCCACATGTGGCTTAGCTCCCATCTTTAGGTCAGAACTGGAGTTTTGGTTCTCATCTCCCCTCCATTCATGGGAGGGGAGAAGGGACGAAGGAGCTCACCATGCTTAGTTGTTCATGGTAAGAGTCAGAAGTGGTCCGATTGCTGTTGCTCATCTGTGGGCCCAAGCTTAGGCACAGGGTTGTTACTAGTTTCAAGGAAGGCTGGGAAGGGTAGTCGTTAGTTGGGCAGCCATCTGCCTGGCTGAAATTTGATTAAATAGAAGAATGGAGACACATGTTAGGTGACAAGGGGCAGGCTCTATTGCCGCAGCAACAGAAATAATGGGCAGACTCTGTGAAAACTGCACCATATGTAAAAGTCACACAGACGTGTGTTCCATACCTCACCACCATGGGGCTTTGCCAAGGCCATGAACATTATCAGTGATCTCCCTACTTTGGACTGTCAACATGGCTTCAGGGTAGCTTGGGTCTTAAGTGTCAGTCACTATGGTGAATCAGAGGGTGGCCATACACAAGTTATTAAAATAATTAACATTAGGGCTGGGGGTGTGGCCTAGCAAGCACAAAGCCCTGAGTTCAAACCCTACTACTACCCAAAAAAGCTAGCATCTTTTTGTTTTTCCATATATGGCTGATGCTAAGTGTTTATTTCCAAGTATTATGGGATAGACTCCATGTGTGCTGAGAGAGACAGGTAAGAGAATGGAAGAGATTTTACAGGTGGATGGATGCACAGGCAAAAGGCTAAGAAGGTAGAGATACATACTGAAGGCTACATTTGCTTTTAATAATGTACACTTATCTACAAAACTGTGAGTCATGGATTAATAACACTTTTTAAATAGTTTACAGAAATTGATCTTATATGTGTGCACATATATATATATGGCTATATATATGACTATATATATATTAATTGCCAGTTAGTAAGTAGTCTATGAATCTTATGTATAAATAAAGGACTATTCCATGGAAAATGCATATAGGTGCTCACTAAATCATTTAATGCCCTTAAAAAAAGCTTTTCACTCTAATTTTTAATGTTGACTCATGGTATTTAGCAAATCACTTAAAGGATCCCAGAAAATAATGCTATATAAAGATTACATGGAACTTTATTTTTCAAGAATAGGCATAAAATTCTGGCATATTCCTCAGTCCTGTGAATGCTGGGAATTGAGTACTTTAACTTTGATCCTCCCTTTTTTTCCTTTTGATCACCATTGCATCCATAACACATAGCCTGAGGCTGGATATTTTATACCATGAATGATGAATGAATGAATTATGGTATATGAATGATATAGGCATGAATGAATGATACACATCTTGCAAGCTGCACTTTCTTTTTAAGACTTCTTGGATGATCTTCAGTGAATTTCTGATTCATGGTTTTAACCAGTAGGTTTTTAGTAAAAATACAAATAAAAACTTCCAACCTGACAGTTCCTTGAGTTCATTCTTGAATGTGTTCTTATTAATGCATTAATTACTGATTTACTATTTCTTCATGTTTTGAGAACCCCTCCAATTTCTGGTCTTTTTTTTTTTGTTTTTATTATAACATACAGGATGTGAGGACATGAAGGCTGACATCATGTTTCTGGTGGACAGTTCTGGAAGTATAGGACCCACAAATTTTGAGCAAATGAAAACCTTCATGAAAAACCTGTTGGCTAAGATTCAGATTGGTGCAGATAAAACTCATATTGGTGTGGTGCAGTTCAGTGATTATAACAAGGAAGAGTTCCAGCTTAATAACTATTTTACTCAAAAAGAAATCTATGATGCCATAGACAGAATGCCTCTCATTGACAGAAATACTTTGACCGGAAGTGCGCTGACATTTGTAAGTCAGTACTTCACTCCTGCCAAGGGGGGGCGCCCCACAGCCCGAAAGTTCCTCATCCTCCTTACGGATGGAGAAGCACAGGATGAGGTGAAAGACCCTGCTGCTGCTCTTCGGGGCTCAGGGGTGACCATCTTCTCTGTGGGGGTGTTCGGTGCCAACAGGGCTGAGCTGGAGGAGATCAGTGGAGATGGCAGCCTGGTTTTCCATGTGGAGAACTTTGAGGATCTGAAGGAGATAGAAAGTAAACTCATCTTCCGAGTGTGTGCTCTGCACGGTAAGTGCCCCTTTATCCTGAGGACTCAGTTGACTTTGTAGTGGACCAAGAGTGTTACTCTCTGACCTTGGCCTCTACCTGCACATGGGTGTTGAGTTTTGGTCTGATCTATGTCGTGTTAAAACACCCATGACCTCCAGGGATAGTCCAGATCAATAATTTGATAGCTAGCTTGGCACAAAATATTCTTGCTTTTAGTGACTTTAAATATGTTCTACGAATGTCTCAGAATTCAACACTAAACTTCAAATTCCTTGATACGCATTGGCTTTGGATTTTCCAGAATAATTTTTAATACAAATTGATTTCTTGGGATTCTTTCTCAGCTACCCATAACCACTGGTAAGCAGTAAACAGAGACACAAATTCATCTTCCTTTTGGTTAAATTAAGTCCAGTATCCTTGCAGCCATACTTTACCAAAAACTCTTTTATATTTTAAAGATAACAATGTGTGTTTTCATTGCTCCACTTTCTCTTCTTCCTCCTTTTAATTTTTTTTGTGATATGGCTATTAAACTCAGCACATTTGTTAGATGAGTGTTCTACCACTTGAATCACATCCTCAGTCCTTTCTGCTTCAGTTTTTCAGATAGAGTCTCGCACTTTTACCTATGCCAGGCTTGAACTGCAATCCTCCTTTCAGCACTTCCCAAGTAGCTGAGGTTATAGGCATGCACCATCACGCCTGTTCCCTCTTTATTATTCCTAACTTCTATCAACTAGTTATTTTACATTCTTCGGTCATGTACTATCCACATGAAAACTGTAATTTGTGACTTTTTGTATGCTTGCTTGGGGTCATAATTTTTTATCTCACAAATCATAGTGCTTCTCAAATTGTATTGAGTCATGTGCATTTGGAGTCTGTCAATTTTAATTAACATTACTTGAATGAGAACTTGCCATGAAGTCACACGTAGCCCAAACGTCTATGCTTTGCAATCTTTCATCTGCTATTATCTGTTTTGGATGTGACTGAGAGAGCAAACCACAGCCTTAGTAAGTTTGTTGTATTTTGTTCCCCTGGCAACAAAAAGACATTTGTTGAATATCATTTTCAAAATTGTGTGTGTGAAGTTTTCGGGAAGTTAATCAGCGCAGGTGTCATTGGAGCGCTGTATTTTAGACAGTCAGTGACATCAGCTCCCTTGGTAACATCTGAATCGGAATTTTTCTCCCTCCAAGAATACTAGTGATTTCAAATCTCTTGATAATGTTAGGAGGGTACACATATGCCATGGCTTTGACTTTGAAATGTACAGGGCTCTTCTGGGCATTTCTTCCTTTTGCTTTTGATGCATGTCATGTTTGTGATGGTCCTGTCTGTGGCATCACAAAGTTTCTGGTAACTCATGCATTAGATCGACTCGTGCATATGTATTAAGTCACAAGCATTAATCAAATCTCAGTAAGCAGTAAGCCAATTGCCCCAGGATCTCTTTTTCTCTTTTTTTTTTTTTGGCAGTATTGTGGTTTGAACTCAGGGACTTGACTTGCTAGGCAGATGCCACGCTCCCAGTCCTTTTTTGCCTTAGTTATTTTTGAGATAGGGTCTCTTGTTTTTGCCTGGGGCAGGCCTGGACTGTGATCCTTCTACTTTGCTTCCTGGCTTGAATTACAGGTGGGCATCACCATTCCCAGCTATTTTTTCTTTTTTTGAGATGGAGTCTTGCTGATTCTTCCTCCTGCCTGCCCCCTATGTGGCCTTAACATTGATCCTCCCAATCTTTGCCTCCCGAGTAGTTGGAATTACAGGTGTGAGCCGCTGTGCCTGGCCTACTCCTGCACTGTTTAAAACAGCTGGCCAGTTTGGCAACCATCGACATCATGTCTCCCCATTATAATGGCATTGAACTAGTTTCTGACATTGCCTTTCTGTTGCAAGCCTGCTTAGCAAAAGACACTACCTGTCCTAATGGGGCACAGCAGAACAGAGTGACATAAGTCACACGGGTGAGGGAATCATGATCGGGGCAAGTTGCCCTTCCCCGAGCCTCAGCTTCTTTCTCTGTAAAATGACAAATGCCACCACTAGGAAAGAAGGGAGGTGGAGGGAGGGTTGGGCACACAGTCTGCTCACAGCACAGGTTGGATCGCTTTCTTTTTAGAGATACGCTGTGTAGCCGTGCAGAAAGTTTGTGATCTTTCCCTTTTTTTTTTTTTTTCAGATTGCAAAAGGATTAAGGTGTTAGACATTGTGTTTGTGCTGGACCACTCTGGGAGCATAAGTTCAGGACAGCAAGAGAGCATGATGAACCTTACTGTCCACTTGGTGAAGAAAGCCGACGTTGGCAGGGACCGGGTGCAGTTTGGAGCTCTCATATACTCCGACCAGCCTGAGATTCTTTTCTACCTGAACACATATTCAAGCAGATCAGCCATCACTGAACACCTGAGGAGACGCAGGGACACCGGAGGGAACACATACACTGCCAGGGCTCTCCAGCATGCCAACCACCTGTTCAAAGAAGAGCATGGCAGCCGTATAAAGCAAAACGTGAGGCAGATGGTGGTCATCATCACAGACGGGGAGTCCCATGACCGAAATCTGCTCCATGACACAGCACTGCAGTTAAGAGCTAAAGGCATCACTATCTTTGCAGTGGGTGTGGGAGAGGCCAACCAGGACGAACTCGAGGTTATGGCAGGGAATAAAGAAAACACTGTCCATGTTGATAATTTTGACAAACTGAAAGATGTTTATCCGCTTCTGCAGGAAAGCATGTGCACCCATGCACAAGAGGGTATGTTACTCTTAGCACTTCTATGGAGGAAGTAGTAAAAGTTTAAACAAAAATAGAATTTATAGCAAGGAGTGGTGGCTCATTTCTGTAATCCCAGATACCTGGGAGGTGGGGATTGAGAAAATCCTTATTCCAGCTCAACCCAGGCAAAAACAAAGTTAATGAGACCTCATCTCAACCACAACAAAAAAAATCAGTGTGCTTATAATCTCAGTTATGAGGGAGGAAGGAGTAGGTAGGAAGATTATAGTTTGAATCTGGCCTGGGCAAAAATGTGAGACCCTATTTGAAAAAAATGACCTAAGGCAAAAGGGCTAGGGTGCCTGCCTACTAAGCACAAAGCCTCAAGTCCAAATCCCAGTACGGTCAACAAAATAAGAACTTTGACTTCCTGATACCTGAGTGTTATGGGCCAAAAAACTCTGCAAAACTCTGAAAGAAACAGGCTGCCTGACCAAGCTTCCAAAGATGCTGAGGTGGTGCAAGAGAGCTTCCGAGGTGCTTCTTGCTGTCTTGCCGTCCTGTTTCTTTTTTTTTTTTTTTTTGACAAAAGGAAACTCTTGCTAGGGCCACAGTCACCTCACCCCATCAGCAGCTACTTGCACAGCTGCATTTGCTTAAGGGCTGCAGTGAGGCCACGTGGCAGTTTGAGGCCAGGTAGACTTTGTCTTCAAAGATCCAACGCTCTGGGTCCTACAGGCTACCTCCTACAGGTGGTGAGAAGTTCCGTGTTTTTCTGGATAAGGACCACCAGAGCAGAGCGGAGTGGGGGTAACGGAGTCTGGGTGCTAGGATCAGGGCTGGAAGGGGACTAAGCTGATTCCAAGTGCCAGTGCCACCACTGGGCTGCGTAGGCTGTGGGAAATGGTGAGATTTGCTAGCTGGTCTCGAGGGCAGCAGAGAGGGGCAGACAAGTCACCTGGAGAGCTGCTGTGGCTCTTTGAGTCCTTGCCACGTGTCCTCCAAATTGGGGCAAATGAATCATTTAACTAACTTCCTCCTTTCCTCCTTCCTTTCCCCTTTCTCTTCTCCCAATCTGAAATCTACTTTTATGGTCAACACGAATCATGTTTCTGAGACTGATATTGACTCGCTTGCTTCTCTGTAAGCAGTGCACCCCACATAGAAACCTACCCTGTATTTACATCCAGTTAGCATTTTCTCTGCTGAATAAACTACACCCAGCCACTATAGTGTCACTGTACTTAAATAAGAAGTAAGTCCATCATCTTCTTGGTTTCATATATTGAATGAGGGTATCATCTTTATCCAAGGAAAAAATTTAAGATTTTTCCCAAGGAACAAGGCTCTCTCATTCTTCTGCCTGTACTCCCTGGTCCTCGGACCCATCTGGAAGCCTCATTTCCCTCCATCTCTCCCCACCCTTCCCCCTGCCACACAGTTCAATCTTGATACTGCGTGATCTTTCTCACCCACTCCGGACTGTGCCACTCCACTGCCTATAGGTTTTTGGAGGGTTCCCTCTGCTACAGGAGGCGATTTCCAAATTCCTGAACTCCATCTCACCCTGCCCACCTCTCCATCCTCATCTGTTGCCGCTCCCCTCTTCACAGTCTACCTTGTCATTCTGATATTCCTCCACATCTTTGGGACATCATTCTACCCACCATGAATGCCCCCATTGTACCACTTCTCTTGCCTACGTTTAGTTGGTTTGTTGAGCTTCAGTTTATTTTACTAATTTCCTTGACAGACATCGAACTTCTGAATTCTGTTTCTATATCTCTAAAATTAGAATAACTCCTCTCAAGGTGAGGTGAATATTTACTACACCATTGGGTACCAAGAGTATTTCATTGGTGCCACCTCTCGGTGTGCACGTCAAGTGGTAGCATTCATAGTAATAGGAGCATTAATAAAAGCCTGATGACTCTGTCATCAGCCTGATGACTCACCCTGACCTGGGTGAGTGCTCCAATCTGAGTATGTTGAAGAGACTCTACTTTTATAATTACCTCTTCTTGAATAGATTAAATTGATTCAAACTTCCTACTTACTTTCTGAGAATGTAGCTTGCAATGTCTTTTCCAGTGACTCATGCAAATAATTAGAATTTGACACACCTCCATTGTCACTCCCCTTCTTGACATTTTTCCTTCCTTTGAGGGTCTCTCCTGTTATCTTATCTCCATCTGCTACTAATATAAAGTGATGTAAATATTTGAGTAAAGTAATAATTTAGAACAATGTGCTAGGAAAATAATTTATTCTTTCTTCCTCTTGCAGTCTGTAACCTTCAGGAAGCTGATGTGATTTTCCTTTGTGATGGCTCTGACTTGGTGTCTGATTCAGAGTTTGTTACCATGATGACATTCTTGTCAGACTTAATTGATAATTTTGACATTCAGTCTCAAAGAATGAAGATTGGGATGGCTCAATATGGGAGTCGCTATCAGGAAATTATTGAGCTGGACAGCTCTCTGACTCAAAGCCAGTGGAAGTCACAAATTCGGTCTGTCAACAAGAGCAGAGGGCTTCCGCAAATTGATTTGGCCCTTAACCATGTGAAGTATATGTTTTATCCATATGCTGGTGGGAGAAGAAACGCTGGTGTCCCTCAAATTCTGGTTGTCATCACATCTGGGGATCCCCGTTATAACGTGGCAGAGGCAGTGAAAATCTTGAAAGACCTTGGAATATGTATTCTGGCTTTGGGCATAGGAGATGTTCACAAAGAATACCTTCTGCCAATAACAGGCAATTCTGAAAAAATAATCACTTTCCAAGACTTTAATAGGTTAAAGAACATGGATGTGAAGAAGAGAATGGTTCGCGAAATCTGCCAGACCTGTGGGAGAACCAGTAAGTGTTCTGTTTGGTTTTACTCCATCGCAACAACTTTCCAACACTCCAGTTCCCACGCAGTGTACAGCTAGCTCTGGCAGACAGGTATTTGGAATAATATTCAGTGAGGGGAGACCTTTCCTCTGCTTCCAGGAAGTTTAGGATCCATCAGCCTCCCTGAGAGCCAAGGAGAGGGTGCAGAGGCTGTAGAGAGTCTTGGCTGTGTCCCCTGGCCAGCCCTGTCTGCTCATAGCAGTCCAGTGTCTACGCTCCTCTTATATCTGGATCTCAGACTTCCATTTCTACCCTCTCCATTTCTAGAAGTCCTAGGACAATATTCTGCATCCAGTATAAATATTTGCTGATTGAAAGCTATTTTATAAGGGACTCATTGTGTGTGTATGTGAGTGTGAGAGCGTGTGTGTGTGTGTGTGTGTACTTATATGTATATGTGTACAGAGTGTATTTTCTTCTCTTGATATTTATGTCATCATAACAGAGTAAAGATTGGAATTATTCTTAGAGCTTATTTAATCTAGAAGTCACAAATTTAAGTGAACTCAAGAGCCAGGTGGGTAACAGATGAATCAGGTAGGCAGGGTATGAGCCCAATGAGTTGCAGAACAATGACTCTTGAACCTAAGCTGACAGTAGCCATGGGGGGTTCAGATTGTGTCATTTTGGGTTTGGGGCCTGAAAGGATACTTTATCAGGAAGCATTCCACATTTTGTGAAATCTGCAACATGCAGAAATTCCTGAGTTTCTGTTTCTAAGTTGTTCTGATAAAAGCTTTCTCCTTCACAAAATGGAACAGTCTTTCCAAGCTTTCTGGATCTTTTATGTCCCATTAGGTGGAGGCAGCTGACAGGGGTGGGAAGAGCCCTGGGTCTGGAGTGAGAAAGCCAGGTTCTAACTCACAGCAGCAGCAGCAGCAACCTCCATGAATTGCTGTCCTCTCATGGAAAACTGGACAGAATTAGAGATGACAAAGAGACAAGTGACCAAATTCATTAAATGCACTAACAACATGGAGATTTTGTATCTTAAAAATGTAGCTGTCAGTCTCTGTGTTGAAAAATCAGATGATCTAACAGCACTCACTTCCCACACGGGAATAGATTCAAGGCTGGTCACTGTCCTCCAGCTCATTGTTCTCACACCACGCCTGCCTGAGTCACCTACATTATCTACCTGGCCTTTGCAACTGTGTGCATTTTTGTCCTCTGGAAATTAAACGATCTCCAGGACAGTCCAAATCTTAAATATGTTATTATATGAGTCAGAATAGGTCATTGTTAAAATTAGAAAACAATGCACACACACAGAGTCACTGAGAAAGAGCCTAACTGATAGCTTGAGCTTCAAAGCTACTGGAACTTATAGTATTTGGAAGGGGACAGAAGAAACACCTGTGTTATATGTGGGTAGAGAAGCCAGTATCTTCCTTTTGGAACTATAGAAACCTCTGGACTCCAGCCTTGGGCCATGACAGCTCTCATTTTTCCTGTCCTTCCTGTCTACCCTTCCTTATTCTTATTTACTCATTAGCCTGACTTTGTTTCTCTTGGTCTCCAGATTGCTTTGTGGATGTAGTGGTTGGGTTCGACATTTCCACTCACCTTCAAGGGCAGCCTTTGTTCCAGGGCCACCCGCGCTTGGAATCGAATCTCCCAAAGATCTTGGAGGACCTCACCTCCATCAGAGGGGTGAGCTGTGGAGCAGGTGCAGAGGCTCAGGTGAGCCTGGCCTTTAAGGTGAACAATGACCAGGAATTTCCTGCCAAGTTCCAAATCTATCAGAAAGCAATATTTGACAGCTTGCTGCAAGTCACCGTCAGTGGGCCTGCGCATCTGAACGCACAGTTCTTGCAGTCTCTGTGGGACACATTTGAGGATAAGTCTCCGTCCCGGGGACAGGTACCCATCCCTTGTCCTTCCCTTTGCTCCTCCTCTCCCAGTAGAGTCTCACCTTCCACATCACCCCTTTTCTTTGTCCCTCTTTCTTCAGGTGCTACTCATCTTTTCAGATGGCCTCCAGGGTGAGAGCATCACAATGCTAGAAAATCAATCGGACCAGCTCAGAGAAGCAGGTACATCAAACAGTGAAGTATGGAGTCTGCCGAACAGGTCTCTGCCCTTCTGCAGGCCCTGTAGCTCATGAGGCCTGTGGGGCCCAAAGCCCCTTGGTCAGCCCCACATTCCTCTCCCAAATGCTGCAAAAATCCTGGCCAAGAGCTTTCACCTGTGACCTACAGACATGTGCCGACTGACCTGAACTGAGTTTGGACATCTTTGGAGTGGCAACTGGTTATACCTTGTCTTAACTTAGTTGTGGGGCTAGCAATTGCACAGAGATACAAAAAAGCCCAGCACCCTTGGCTCAAGTAGGTCAATTGGTGCAGTTTCACTGGAGTCCTTTATGAATCAGGCCAAGGCTAAAACTGAGCTGAGACGGAACCCTGCGCTCACAGCTTTGCCTTCTGTTTGCTGCTTTTCTCTCTCAATAAAAGTCTTTCTTTTCTCTCTCTGCTTTCCTCCCCGCCATCCCTCTCCCTTTCTCTCCCTTCCTCACTCCCTCTTTCTCCCTCTCTCCCTTTCTCTCTCCCTCTCTCCCTTTCTCTCTCCTGCCCCACCCCCCCACACCAAGAGCCTGAACTAAGACACCTCCTGTGGTTTCTGATTATCCATATTAAAGATAGCAAGGTGGATTTGGGGAAGCACTCCTCACTCTGCATCTTGCACCCTTGTCACAGCTTTCAATTCAGCTGAAAGTGAAACACAGAAGCTGAGAGGAACACACAATGAAAGGAGACCCACTGATTGTCACATCAATCTTGTCTGAGACTTACGTCCTTGGCAGAGCCCTAGACTGGCTTCTGGGATTCACCTTCCCTAGGCGACCTCCTTAGAGCCTGAGCCTTTCCTGCTTTATTTCTGGGTGGTGTTGCTTTCCCGCTCAGCTCCCCTCAACACCTTCTCACTCTTCTTGGGCTATGTGTCAATGTCCTTAGCTTGGCCCATGAGCCTCTGCAGAATCTGCCCCTGCTCCTCACACACAGTGTTCCCCTTCTCCCTGCCAGGGATTTTAGTCTTACTCTTTCCAAGCTTATCCAGAGCGCCACCCACTTCTCTTCCTCCCCAGCTCTCCTCTCCATCTTCTGCTTCTGGTTCTTTCCTTTGGCTGCCTTCTGCTCCTCCTTTACAATCAGCTTGAACATCAGCTTCTCTAGGAATCCTCCCATGAACCCCAAGGCTGAGTTAGGAATTTCTCCTTAGGGCTTTCATAGCACCCTGAGGTCCCTCTCAGGGCACTTACCCTTGTCACATTCTTACCCATCTTTTTTGTTAGACTATAAACTCTGATAGGAAGGAGCGTGCCTGACCTACTCGTCTTGTATCCCTGGTACAATGATTGTACTCATAGGATCCTAAGAAATAGCTATGTAATGACAGGATGATGGCGCAAATGAACCAGTGGGGGGATTAGTGAATAAGTGAATTAACCAATGTGGGTTTATCCTCATGTTCTCAGGGCCTGGACTCCCGGGGTTGTTTGCCAGGGAGCTAAGATCTATTATTAACCCACATTCAGGGAAATTCAGACCCAATCCCAAAGATGAGCAATGCCCTTTCAGAAAAATCACTTTCAAATGCCCACCAGTTGCATCAAAATTGGTGGTGAGACACTTTTCTGTGAGTGTTTTTCAGTAGATTTGTAAATAGCTTTTTTTGAGTACCTTTTCTCAGATTTCACACTAAAGTTGGAGACCAGAGCCTGACGTTGAGACATGCAGGCGAATCTGCTGTTGGGTCCTTCATAAATTGAGAGTTCTGCTTCTCTTCTGTTTGTTTTTTTTTTTTTTCCCTTTTCTGGTTCCTTGACTACTGCTTGCTGAGTAGAGCTGCTTTTTCATGGACAACTTTTTTCTTTTCACTTAATAGGACTAGATGCCCTGCTGGTGGTTTCTCTAAACACAGATGCTCACGATGACTTTTCCAGCTTTGACTTTGGGAAAGGATTTGATTACAGGACTCAGCTGACCCTTGGAATGACAGAACTAGGCAATAAGCTCTCAGAGTACCTGGTGAGTTGCTGAAAAATCCAGTTATTTCAAATGCCAGGAGAGCTAAACTGAAGTCTTTTAAATCTCCAAAGACTGTCTTTGTCCCAGTAAATTAAATACTTGGATTTAGTCTATAAAAAAAGGTGACAGACCGGAACATCATATTTTGTTTTTGCATGTCCTTTCATTTTTTGTCCTGTCACTAAATAAGTGCATGGGGAACTAAAAGACCAACCAACCCTTGATCTAGTTAAAAGCCTTCTTTTTAATTAGAAGATTGACAACTAGGAAGCAACAAGTCTTAGGCAAACTCGGCCAGTGGCAATCTGTGTGCTCAGAGTACTTTCTATAAATAGAGGTCACTTCCTTTGGAGGGGGGTTGTTACCCTTGCACTTGTTAACCTGGTGCTCTCTCTGCAGTATTAAGTCAAAAAGCATCTCTTGGTCTCTGTAGCCCCACCAAAGGCAGAGGATGGGCTCATGGCTGGAGTGAATATGATTCTTCTGTAATAAGATTTCTGATGATTGTTCCTCATCCCGCTTTCCTTTTTCCCAGGGAAACGTTGCAGAGAGGACTTGCTGCTGTACGTTTTGCAAATGTTCTGGGCTTCCAGGGCTTCCTGGGGCTCAAGGACCACAAGCTTGGAAGGTGCCGTTCAGTTATAACCCTGCTTTCTCTGATGTGCCTGGCTTCAGTATGGGTGGGACTGAGCTGAGTGGTTAAGTTTACCACCTCCGTCTGTACTAATGTAGTTGTTAGGACACTTTCTGTGACTTTTATAGCACGGGAATCGGTCAGAAGGACTCACTGTTGGTTTTGCTATTAAGAATAACCCTTCTCTTACGCACCCTTAGTGGTGCTGCCTCTTGGTTGGGCAGTTCACACCCTTGTATTTGCTTTAGACAGCTCAAAAAAAAATCCTGGAGAAATTTGTGCTTCATCAGCAAAGAATGAAATCAAGCTGCAAAAGGATCACAGTGGTGAAGATTAACAGACTTTTAAAACAACAAATTACAAAAGATCAATTACACCACAACAGAGTAGATAAATTCATCATGGCACTTTTTGATGAATTCATCCACATTCAGTGCAAACAAATGAAATACAGCTACACACAACATGCATCCAAAATGCGTTTTTGAGGTGGAGTCTCACGATGTAGCCCTTCTGGCTTTGAACTTGAGATCGTCTTGATTAGCCTTCCCAGTGCTGGGGTTACAGGCATGCAACGTCACACCCAGTTCCAACATGAATAAATTTTAGCAGCACAGTAATGACAAAAAACCCAAACAAACAAACAAAACTCTCCCAAATCAAACCTTCGGAAGAATGTGTATAGTATGAGTCCTTTTATAAAAAGTTTGAAAACAGGTAAAACTAAGCCGTAGTGTCTAAGGATGAAAACTTAGGGGTGGAGTACTTTAAGAGGCAATGGAGGATTATCCAGAGCGTCAGGAGTGCGTTCCCGGGGTGTGACAGGAGAGGCACGGTCAGGGTGATTAGGATTGCGGTGGCCCTGTGCCTGGCACCTGGGTGGTGGCTGCACCAACTTTACATGTAAGATGTACGAAATTATAGTATGAAGTTCACTGTAATAATTAAGCAGTATTGTTATATTTTATTCATTTTAATGTACACTTTTGAGTGATTTAAGTTATCAGGACTTTAAGAAAGAGATCAGCTCATCCAAAACTGAATCAAGAGGATATTAATCACCTGAATAAACCTATAACACAAAATGAAATTGAAGCAGCAATCAAGAGTCTCCCCAAAAAGAAAAGTCCAGGACCTGATGGATTCTCTGCTGAATTCTATCAGACCTTTAAAGAAGAACTGACACAACTCTCCTTAAACTGTTCCATGAAATAGAAAGGGAAGGAAAACTGCCTAACACATTTTATGAAGCCAGTATTACACTTATCCCAAAACCAGGCAAAGACACCTCCAAAAAGGAGAACTATAGGCCAATCTCCTTAATGAACATTGATGCAAAAATCCTCAATAAAATAATGGCAACCCGAATTCAACAACACATCAAAAAGATCATTCACCACAACCAAGTAGGCTCCATCCCAGGAATGCAGGGGTGGTTCAACATACGAAAATCAATAAATGTAATAAACCACATTAACAGAAGCAAAGACAAAAACCACTTGATCATCTCAATAGATGCAGAAAAAGCCTTTGATAAGATCCAACATCATTTCATGATAAAAGCTCTAAGAAAACTAGGAATAGAAGGAAAGTACCTCAACATTATAAAAGGTATATATGACAAACCTACAGCCAGCATTATACTTAATGGAGAAAAACTGAAACCATTCCCTCTAAAGTCAGGAACGAGACAAGGATGCCCACTATCCCCACTCCTATTCAACATAGTACTGGAATTCCTAGCCAGAGCAATTAGGCAAGAAGAAGGAATAAAAGGAATACAAATAGGTAAAGAAACTGTTAAAATATCTCTATTTGCAGATGACACAATCCTATACCTTAAAGACCCAAAAAACTCTACTCAGAAGCTCCTAGATACCATCAATAGCTACAGCAAGGTAGCAGGATATAAAATCAACATAGAAAAATCATTAGCATTTCTATACACTAATAATGATCAAACTGAGAAAGAATGTATGAAAACAATTCCATTTACAATAGCCTCAAAAAAAATCAAATACCTAGGTGTAAACCTAACATAGTATGTGAACGACCTCTATAAGGAAAACTATAAACTTCTGAAGAAAGAGATTGAGGAAGACTATAGAAAGTAGAGAGATCTCCCATGCTCATAGATTGGTAGAATCAACATAGTAAAAATGTCTATACTCCCAAAAGTAATCTACATGTTTAATGCAATTCCATCAAAATTCCAATGACATTCATTAAAGAGATTGAAAAATTTACCGTTAAATTTATATGGAAACACAAGAGGCTATGAGTAGCCAAGGCAATACTCAGTCAAAAGAACAATGCTGGAGGTATCACAATACCTGACTTCAAACTATATTACAAAGCAATAACAATAAAAACAGCATGGTACTGGCACAAAAACAGACATGAAGACCAGTGGAACAGAATAGAGGACCCAGATATGAAGCCACACAACTATAACCAACTTGTCTTTGACAACGGAGCTAAAAATATACGATGGAGAAATAGCAGCCTCTTCAACAAAACCTGCTGGGAAAACTGGCTAGCAGTCTGCAAAAAACTGAAACTAGATCCATGTATATCACCCTATACCAAGATTAACTCAAAATGGATCAAGGATCTTAATATCAGACCTCAAGCTCTCAAGTTGGTACAGGAAAGAGTAGGAAATACTGTGGAAGTAATAGATATAGGCAAGAACTTTCTCAATGGAACCCCAGCAGCACAGCAACTAAGAGATAGCATAGATAAATGGGACTTCATAAAACTAAAAAGCTTCTGTTCATCAAAAGAAATGGTCTCTAAACTGAAGAGAACACCCACAGAGTGGGAGAAAATATTTGCCAGCTACACAATAGACAAAAGACTGATAACCAGAATATAGAGGGAACTTAAAAAACTAAATTCTCCTAAAATTAATGAATCAATAAAGAAATGGGCAAGTGAACTAAACAGAACTTTCTCAAAAGAAGAAATTCAAATGGCCAAAAAACACATGAAAAAAATGCTCACCATCTCTAGCAATAAAGGAAATGCAAATTAAAACTACACTAAGATTCCACCTCACCCCTGTTAGAATAGCCATCATTAGCAACACCACCACCAACAGGTGTTGGCGAGGATGCAGGGAAAAAGGAATCCTCTTACACTGTTGGTGGGAATGTAAACTAGTAGAACCACTGTGAAAAAAAAAATTGGAGGCTACTTAAAAAGCTAGACATTGATCTACCATATGATCCAGCAATACCACTCTTGGGATATACCCAAAAGACTGTGACACAGGTCACTCCAGAGGCACCTGCACACCCATGTTTATTGCAGCACTATTCACAATAGCCAAGTTATGGAAACAGCCAAGATGCCCCACCACTGACGAATGGATCAAGAAAATGTGGTATTTATACACAATCGAATTTTATGCAGCCATGAAGAAGAACGAAATGTTATCATTCGCTGGTAAATGGATGGAATTGGAGAACATCATTCTGAGTGAGGTTAGCCTGGCCCAAAAGACCAAAAATCGTATGTTCTCCCTCATATGTGGACATTAGATCAAGGGCAAACACAACAAGGGGATTGGACTTTGATCACATGATAAAAGCGAGAGCACACAAGGGAGGGGTGTGGATAGGTAAGACACATAAGAAACTAGATAGCATTTGTTGCCCTTAACGCAGAGAAACTAAAGCAGATACTTTGGGGCAACTGAGGCCAGTAGGAAAGGGGGACCAGGAACTAGAGAAAAGGTTAGATCAAGAAGAATTAACCTAGAAGGTAACATACACGCACAGGAAATCAATGTGAGTCAACTCCCTGTATAGCTATCCTTATCTCAACTAGCAAAAACCCTTGGTCCTTCCTATTACTGCTTATACTCTCTCTTCAACAAAATTAGGGATAAGGGCAAAATAGTTTCTGTCGGGTAGTGAGGGGGTAGGGGGGAGAGGGAGGGGGTGGAGAGGTAAGGGAGGAGGTGGGGGGAAGGGGGGAGAAATGACCCAAGCATTGTATGCACATATGAATAAAATAAAAATTAAAAAAAAAAGAGATCAGCTAGAATACTTTCCCATAAATTCTGCATTGTCCATTCTTGTAGAAGGATAATTTGCATTGGATTTTTACTGCATTCTGATATTTTCTCTAGTGAAATCTCCTCTCAGGTCAATTTTAGAATTACTTTCCAGGAGCACAAGTTCCCTGGTATATTGAACTGACAGTGAGGAAAGCTAGCTTCATATGAAATCTTTCCCAAGGAGCCACAAAGCAACTACACCATGTGTGGCTGAGGGAATGTTGACTTAGTTTAAACACACATAAACCTCATGGTTGGAAGTGCTTGCTTGTCCTTGAACTTTTAAAAATAGAAGAAAATAAAATGATCCTTTTAGACATGTTACTGATTTGCCTGCTGAAAGAGTAATGGTGGAGGCCAGGCATGGTGGCAGATGCTTATAATCCTGGCTACTTGAGGTGGCCCTGGAAAAATGTGATCCCCTATCTGAAAAGCAAACTAAAAACAAAAGGGTTGGGTGTGTGGTTTAAGTGGAAGAGCACTTACCTAGTAAGCTTGAGGCTCTGAGTTCAAACCCCATTAACACAAAGATGGTGGTCACAGCTGTCCTCCTGGCAAATCCCTCAGATGTAGGAGTGGCACTGTGACCTCATTGCAAGGTGAGTCCCAAGGGTCAGCCTCCTGTGCCACTAGGATGGTGGCTTTCTGCAGAGGGGCTCCAAAGATGAAGGCAAGGACAAAAGCCAGCAGCAGATGCCATTGGACTCTCCCCAAAGTCATAGCCACACCTGCACAGGCTACCCCCATGGGAAAGGGAGGCCCGGGTCTGGAATGTGGAGTGACTGCACAAGTTTGGTGGATGAACTGTCCTTTCTTCTCTTTCCTCCCAGGGTTCTTCAGGTGTGAAAGGCAGCAGAGGACACAGAGGGGAGGATGGAGACCCTGTAAGTTTTTGTCAAGCCTCCTCCCCACGCATACTTACTGATCTTATTTTTTTAATGAAAAGCTTGCTTTCTTTTCTTTTCCTTCCCTCTTTCCCTCTCTCCCTTTCTTCCTTCCTGTGGTACTGGGGTTTGAACTCAGGACCTCACTCTTGCTAAGCAGGTGCTCTCTCACTTGAGCCGTTCTGGCAGTCCTGTTTTGTGTTGGGTGTTTTCAAGATACGGTCTCATGAACTATTTGCCCAGGTTGGCTTTGAACCACCATCCTCCAGTTCTCTTTTTGCTAAGGAGCTAGGATTATGAGTGTGTATAGGATTATGGCAGTGCCTGGCTCTTGTGATGACCTTTACTTTCATATGCAGGGGTAGGTGAGGATTTGCTTATTTTTTTACAGTGTCTTTTCCTTTTTCCTTGACTGAATTATGAGGCACTCCCTACATAAGTTTGGTGAGTGTGTGTGTGTGTGTGTGTGCTTGTGTGTGAGAGCGTGTATGTTTGTGTGTGAGCTTGAGTGTGTCTCTGCGTGTGTGAGTTTGTGTGTGTATATGCATGTGTCTGTGTGTCTGTATATGTGTGTTTGTGTGTCTGCGTGTGTGTGTTTGTGAGTGAAGGCCACATGCATGTGGCCCGGCATGTAGTGTGTAGGGAACCAGGTGTCCTCTATCTCCAAGTAGGATGGTGCAGGTTATTTCCTAGGGAGTTCTGTTTAGGCCTGAAACCCAGTGCTTAGCCCATGGCAATAAACCAGGCTGGGGTACACATCCCTGCCTGAAGGTGGGGCTTCATCATTACACGTTACAAAGACATTTCACCCTAAAACAAGAACTCTCACTTGGTTCATCAAGCACATTATGAGTGGAATTTGGAAGAACTGAAAAACCACTTGGGTGGCTCTGTTTGGGATGATGGAAAGTTCAGGAATTATCTCAAGTTTATGATGTTTAAAAGCCTGGACTCTAGAATTAGGCTGCCAAGATTGAACTCAGGGCCTTTTGCTTGCTAGGCAAGTGCTCTACCACTTGAGCCATGCTCTAGTCCTTTTGCTTTTAGTTTGTTTTTCAAATAAGGTCTCATATTTTTGCCTGGGGCTGGCCTTGGACCATGATCTTCCTACCTCCTCCTCCCAAATAGCTGGGGTTACAGGGATATGCCACCAGCTTAGCTGATACTTCACTTCTTGATCCTTGGTTTCCTCATGTGTTAACATTTATAAAATCCTCTAGGACCCTACTATGGCTGACCTGGTTTACAAATGGCCATTAAGGAGGGTGCTCCATGTGGCCTCACCTTGTACCCCTCAGAGGGGCTCAGAGACCACCACGTCAGTGTGGAAGTGCTTTGAGTATGGACGATTGTGTTGCCTACCTGCCTGCTGAGTAGCTGGCTGGAGGCCCAGGCAATGGAAAGTTGTACAGGCTGGGTACTTTTCAGTGACCAGGAGTCTTGGGAAAGACCTTGTGCTTTTCCAGAAATAGTCCTCGGAATCAAGAAATAAATCAGGGAGCAGGAAAAGCCCTGGTCCCCTGTCTTATCAGGAAGGAAAGAAAAAAGCTCATTGCTAATAATTCTTTATATCACAAACTCTGGTACCTGTCATCCACCTAGATCCAGGCCAAATGCCAGGGACATGATGGTAAAGGAGACAGTTGGGTCCCTGTCCTCAAGGAACACACAATTGTTCTTCTCTGGAGATTCATCTTGCTCTGGCACTTACCTGTACCTAAACATTTCCCAAAAGAAGAAAGATTGATGGGGGATACCCACATCATTGACCTTGCGTGTTCTTCCTACATGGATGGTTTGGCTTTAGAGCTTTTTGGCTTTGACTCTGACTTTGGTGATGCCTCCTGGGATATGTGTCTCTTCTGCCTTTGTGCCCTCATTCTCACAGTAGTGTCACTTCCCATCAACTGTGTCTGCTCAGCTCTATTCCCCTGATACTGACTTGTTTTTCTTTCAGCAATGCCAGTTTTTTTGTACAGCCTTAGGGTCCTGGGCAAGGTGTAAGGAATATGGCTAGATGGTAAAGGGACTTCTGAATTTTTGGCTACACTGTCTGATGAGGGGATGAAGCAGCCAAGCTCATCCTGTGCCTACTTGTGATCTTGGATCTATAAGGGATTCCTGAAGGTTGATGGGAAAAACTACAAACATAGGGGAGAAGATAGATTTAGATTTGCTTTCCCTAAAGCTTGGCATATCCACGTGCTCTAGCTCAACACCCTGAAAGCAAACTGCCAGAAGCTTCTAGCAAAAGAGTTGCTTTGCTTATCTGTTTGGATTCTTTTTCTTAGGGAACACAAGGAGAAATTGGACCACAAGGAGATAGAGGGATTGCAGGATGTCCGGGGGACAGAGGTGTACAGGTAAGCTCTGCTAGCAGTGTCATTTTCTCTCTCCCTTATAATGTCTTCTCCCTCTCTCCTCCATTCTCCTGTCCCTCATTTGTCTTCTTCCTTCACCCCTTCCTTTCCCCCTTCTTTTCTCTCCTCTCCAGTTACATATACTTGATTAATTCTGCTGCTTAATAATCTCAAGGAATCTTGAGCATTAATTGAATTCCATCTATAATTCCTTTGTGGATGTCTAGCCAGAAGCATCTGAAGAGCAAGCAAGATAACTCTGTAGGGAGGTAGCCCCTATGTGCTGTGTCTATGAATCCAAACCTAGGTACATCAGTGACATATTTAATCTTTTGCAGGGAGCCAAGGGATTTTCTGGATCTAAGGTATTGTAGTTTCTTTTTAGTCAAGTTCAATTTCCTAATGAGATCCGTTTCCCAATAAGCATGTGACAAAGACCTCCTTTCCCTGACTGCTGTGTGTCCTTGTCACCCAGGGAGAACACGGAGAGCTTGGGGTTGATGGACTCCATGGAGAAGAGGTAAGCCATTTTTCTTCCAGTTATAAAGCCATCATGAGATGGATATTTTTTAAAATAGGGATTTTTCTTATCCTCTTTAGGGATTTCATGGATTTCCTGGGAAAAAAGGAGAAAAAGGTGATCTTGGATCTCAGGTAATTGTCTCACTCCATCAAAGGAAAATTTGGTGATAGAATCAGTCTTAATTCCTGTGTGTCAGAGTTACTAGGGATGAAGTTGACAGCTGACTTCACCACACAATGAAAGCCAATTACTGACACATCAATGTTCCAGTCTTTCTGGGGCAAGTGGGTTGGTTGCTATGTAATTTTCAAGAATTTCCACTTAGAAAAATTCTTTCGGTGGGAATGTTTTGCAGAAGGGTGAAAATTAATGCTTTTTGCCTGTTAGTTGCTTCTGTGTTCTCTTGATTGGCATTGGAAAAAAAAAAACGGCAAGAGGGAGGGAAGGCTATTTTGATGGTCTTGATATAGCAAATCATAGTGAAACGTTTTTTTATTTTAAATTCATTTCTATTCCTATTGGTATATGCCTTCTTAATTCTAAGAAGCTCTACTGTTCTTTTCTGGTCCATTTATTTATGACAGAATTTTGCATACCTTTCATATGCCAGGTACTGAATTATTTGCTAAGGAATCAGAGATGGGCCATGCAGCCCTTGTTCTCTCAGTGTTGTTGGGAGACAATTATATAATTGGAATACGATTGGTAAAGAAAATGTGGTACATGTACACAATGGAGGATTATTCAGCCATAAAGAAGAGTGGAATTATGTTATTTGCAGGAAAATGGATGGCACTGGGGATCATCATGTTGAGCGAGATAAGCCAAGCTCAGAAAGACAAATGTCACACGTTTTCACTCATATGTGGAGTCCAAACCCAATAGTAATAATATGACATGATTGCAAAAGGGGGGACTATTGGTGGGCTGAGAACCAGTGGGAGGGAGCAAGGGGAAAGGACAGGGTGACGGGAGGTGAATAGTAGGAAAATAAACTAACATGACATAACATTATAATATAATGTAATATATATGTATATAAATAGCATAGAAACCCACTAAAAACTGTTGAGAAGGAGGGAGGAGAGAGGTTAAGAAAGAGTAATATAGATGGAGTAAACTCAATCAAATTACATTATATACACGTATGCAAATATCACAACAAAACTCCTTTTTTTTTTTTTAATCCAAAGAATATATTTAAAAGCACACATGGGAAGCAAGACCTCTCTTTTAATATTTTCTCCATCCTGTCCACCCCCAACTCCTGTTCAAATGCAGTGGTGCCAGGGGCTACACATCATCTTCAACAAATTACCTGCTTCCTGTTTCATTTCTAAGTTGCTACAACTTTGTGTCAAATGATTTCATTCTGAATGTAAACTTTTCCAATACTGTAAATGGAAAGCCAGTATCATCTGCTATATCTTAAAGATAAAAACAAACAAAACAAGGTTATTCAGTTCTAGCTGAACCTACTGCCTGCTATAGACTCTGAGCTGCAACCCTGTTAAGTGCTTTAAAGAGAGATTAGCAAATATCAGGAAAGCGTTAAGCACACTGGGAGTAAACCAAGTCTTTCTCCTGACAGCACCAGCAGTCTGAAGGGGACCTGGAAAGTGAGCACCTTCACAAGCTGTGACGGTCACTTCTATTTGCTGCCCCTCAAGCCACTGCATGGACTCTAGGCAAGGGCTGCTTGAGGCCCTGGGGCCCCTTTTGTGGAACCTCCTCCTAGGGACGACACCACAGGCACCAGGATCCCACTTCCTGACCTGAAGCACGTGTACTTCTGGCCACCCACTGTCATGCTGTTCATCAGCTCCCACAGGTCTCTGGCTTGAGGATGTATCCCCATGTTCTCTCATGCTAGAGATGATGTACTACTAGTTGGTTAACAGTGCGGATTTTTTCTTGTAGTACACAACATAGTGATGTCCTTCTAGCACAGTGCCTTAGGTCCGACAGCACAGAGGCAATTTTCTCACGCTTCTGTCAATGGCCGGCCCTGCCCTAATGTGGTCTCCACAGCTTCTCACACACCAATTCAGTCAGTAACAAGTGGCCGGGGGAGTCCAGCAGGTCCCACCAGTGTGACAGCAGCAGAGTACCTGGTCCTCCCTGATCTCATTACTTCCACTGCTGTGGCCAGGTGAGCTTCAAGTGTGTTCTCCCACCTCCATCTCGTCAGGGATCACCCACGCCAAGCGTCCACGGCATTGTCTATGAGCACATCTGCCAAGTCTCGTCCTTCCTCCACATTTCTACACAGTGCCTGCCATAGTCAGCAGCCTCCATGATGCTGGAAGGGTTTAACAGTTGTTGGCTCAAGTGGAAATGAAGATGCCAGTTCATGGCTGGCCTGAGACCACAGCCAAATGGTTCATTCAACACTAGCATTACTCCTGGGAACCTCCTTGGTTTAGGGACCTGCAGAAGCCCACATGGAACCCGTACTGTTTCATCAAGGCTGAAGGCCTGGGGTTTTTTGAACAAATCAAGCTTTCTTCGAAAGCTATTTTCTTCAAAAGACTCTGTAAGGTACCACATTGCACTCTGCAGCAGGCTCCTCTGCGCTGCCATCCTGGAGGACCCCCGTGGTGTGCCCGCCTCTGAAACATCTTTCTACAGTTAATTTATACTAATAAAGAATTTAAAAACAAAAAGAATGTGATTGGGACCACACTATGGGATTCTATGTGGGAGCCCACCCCTTCTTAACTCAGCCTGGGGTAGGAGCATCCAGGAAATGATCCCTGAACTGAAGATGACCAGCAATCAGCAAGGCAAAGACAGAGGGACAGTGGGCACAGACTTGACGCTCAGGAGTGCTGCATGTTGTTCTGCCTGGAGGGAGCTTGAGAGGCTGGGGTTGGGGAGGCGAGGTTCAAAGGAGCAATCTGGAGGCACCAGTGAGCCATGTGGGAGCCTGGCTTTTATCTATTAGGGAGGCTTCGAAGGACTTCACGCAGCTGCATGGCAAACAAATTTGCATCTTAGCAATAGCATTTGACTGTAGTGGGGAGGGTGTGTCAGTGATGGCATGGATGTGAGGAAGGATGAGGGTGGACCTGCAGGAATCCAACAAGAAGGAATGAAGCCTTCAATTAAAGCCAGCATGGTGGAAATGGATATAAACATAGTAAGACATGCAGGGCCTGCTGGGGTGGAGCACGTGAGGTGCCTGGGTGCAGAGGCAGCTGTCCCCCTCCTGCAATGCAGAGTGAGCATCTCCCTAAATGTTGCACCCTACTGGCCTCTCTGGTGCTGGGACATAAGATCTCCAGATATAGGTGACCAGAGGAGCAGATAATGAGGAGTCAGTCAAAAATGTCAGCAAGGATTCTGGCTTGGACAAGTTTTGCTGGGGTGACACTGGAGCACCTCTGCAAAGGTTTCCAGTGGGAAATTTAACTATAGCTGTCAGAAGTTGCTAGACTGGATATCATGTCCCATATGGTAGCCACTAGCCATGTGTTACTATTTAAATTAAATGAACTAAAGTTAAAATTTCAAGTGCTCAATAGTCACATATGGCTGGTGGCTGCCATCTTAAACTATGAGCCATAGAACAGTTCAATCCCTGGAGAAAGTCCTGCTGGACAGCCTTGTCTATGACAGAGCAATTGCTACCATGGGTTTCTAATTTCTCAACCTCAAACAGATATCCTGACATAAAATTGAACTTCGGAAGTCTGAGGGCACCTGACTTAGAAGAATGTGATTCATTTTTTCTGATAGATTACTCTCTGCTTCTGCAAGCTAACACAGAAGTTCATTGTATTATTATTATTTTTTTTTTTTAGGGCAGCCCAGGTTCCAGAGGCCCCCCTGGGGAACGTGGAGAAAAGGGCTTCCCAGGGGATCCTGTAAGTTATTAGAGCCCAGTTGGTTCTGAATTTAAACTTGTTTCACAGTTCCCATCTCCTTTACCTTTGTGTCTCCTGCTAACCTATAGGCAAATATTCCCCCTGGTGTGGGGGTTGGGGTGTTGACTGAGGCTTCTTTGAGAAAAAAATCTGTGTTTGATTTGGGCTGATTTTTTTTTTTTTTTGGCAGTACTAGGGATTGCATTCAGGGTCTCCTGCTTGCTAGGCAAGCACTCTACCATTTGAGCCATGCATCTAGTCCCTTTTTTCTTTATTTTTCAAATAGGGTCTCACACTTTTGTCTGGGATGGCCTTGGACCAAGATCTTTCTACCTCTGTTTTCCAAGTAGCTGGAATTATAGATGTGCGCCATTACACCAGGCTGGGCTGATTATTTTAAGGGTTCAGAACCAGGATCTGTGGTGTATCGAGACTTCAATGTTACTTTGGGGGAAAGCGTTCCTTAGTTTTGTTTATTGGACTTCTAATCTTGTAGACCTGCAGATTCCCGATTTGTGGACTCAAATTCAGGAGAATTAATTATGTTTTTGAGGGACTGGCCTAAGAATGTTTGGACCAGTGTATCAGAGAAGCTGCCATTACAGGGAAAATCACAGTGAGGTCCAAACTCTTACAATGCTGCTTTTATCACCAAATCTCCTTCATTCTTGGGGAAATGTTACTTCCAGTTTTCCCAAAATTCTACGGGTTTCAAATTGAAGATTTTCCTTGCAGATTTCACCCCTTAACCTAGCTTAGCAGTTGAGTGTCAGCCCATCTTGTGAAAAAAAAAAAAAAGCTGTTATTTCTGGCTTCTAAAATACTTCTTAAAATCTTCTAGGGCAATCCAGGACAAAACAGTAACACCAGAGGACGGAAAGGCTCCAAAGGAGAACAAGGAAGACAAGTAATTGGATCTATTTCACATAGATGGGTTGACCTATTCCATTATTGGGCTAAGTAAATTCAGAAAAATATATAAGGCTTCTGTAGTTGAACAAACACACCTAAGTCTTCAATGGTACGGTGGTAGTAGGTTACACTTCTATGGGAAAATGATGAGGTTTCTGGGAAGCAATGGCATTTGGGAAAACTTGTAGTAGCAGTGTGTGATGCTAAACTTTTTCCCTCTAGTGCATGCCTAACCACAAGGGTTAATTTGCAGAATGGCTTTAGGGTGCCCACTTCATTCTGCTGTTACCATACTGTTCTATGTATGACGTCGATGCCTTTATAATTTACTGAGAATCGTTTGCCTTATGATCTTGGGGAACTATCATGTTTTTAGGGTAGCACTGGACAGAAAGGAACACAAGGCAGCCCCAGTGCCGCAGGAAGCAGGGTAAGTATTTCCATCAATATTTTCTTCCCCTCTTTATCACCAGAAGGTGACACAGGCATTCAGGTTATTTGTTGCTATAGAGTCTGCTACTCCAGGGCTGATATATTTGCAGGGTTTCAGAATCTTGGTACTGCTGGCATTTTTGGACCAGATTGTTCTTTGTCGTGAAGAGCTTTCTATGCCTTGTGGGATGTTCAGCAGCATACCTGGTCTCTGCTCACTGGATGTCAGCAGCCCCACCCCTCCCCTCTGTCCACTTGGAACATCCAAAAATGTCCTCAGATATTGCTAAATGTCTGTGGAGGGCTTTGTGGGGTGGGAAAGGGAGGGGAGGAAAATCCCCCAGTTGAGAACCACTTCAATACAGTTTGATTTTTCCTTTCCATGCTTTTAATGTCTCTAAAAATAGTCCACAACTTTAGCTTGTAACTTAGCATCTGTGAGCTATGGGATCAAAACATTGGCAATTAGGGCCAACTCAACGGCAACCTCCAAGTTCTAGGGTAACTTTACAGTGTCCCAGTTGATATCAAGACTATCACTGCAAACACAGAGACATTGGATTTTCTCATATTTGTAAGGAACAACCAAGAAGTCACCTTTCCTTTTGTGGGCTACTGAAGTTAGGGATAGCTCCTCTCTAATGTGCTCAGCATAGACATCATAAAAAGAGAATAACATACAAAGCCTTAGGTTTAGCCCTGAAGTTTTGTTCGGAAGGAACTGAGAATACTTGGCTTTCTTTGCTATTTCAAATTTGGGACTCTAGCCATCACTTGAAGGCTGGGGCCGCCAGCCCTTCTCCCTGGGGTGGAGAGTAGAGATCATGCCCTAATTCCTTTGGCCTTTGTTTATGTTGAATCATGATCAGCCTCTGAAGGTCAGGGGTCTGCACCCTGAGGGGCTAAGCTTCCCAGTACTTCTGGTAATGTTCTTTGGGACTTTGCCTTCTTCTTTACTCAAGAGATTAAAATGTAATGAGAGGCAGCAGTACAGCAGCAAGATGAGCTAAATGTTATAAATTTAAAAAAAATTTAAATATGTTTTTGTGGGCTTAAGAGGAAATACTTCTAGTTTGAACTAGCTTTATAACTGACAAATTCATCACGCACTTTTGAACAAAAGACAGTGGGGATAGAGATTATCCTTGGCGCACGCTTGTCACTGACTTTTAGTTACTCTAAGGACAGGAGGTTCTCAGTCCCCTCCTCATCTTTTATCCATTTCTCTGCTGATCTCCTTTGTAACTTGTTTTCTTCTGAGTTAAATAAGGTAACGTTCACACTACCTTCTCCCCTGCCTTTCCAAAGAAGGTCAGCATTCTCTCTGAGGGTCAGAGCATCTTAAGTGGATGACAAATTCTAACAACACAACTCAACCCAAAACACTGATTTTGGAGTGATAGAATTTCAACTTGTGAAAACTAATTGTTGCACCAACTGTTGCCAAAACAATGGAAGAATATACTGAAAATCACACTTGAAACCACATGCTAGGCTCTTTGCCTGCCACATACAATGAATCCTTACAAATAATATTTATATTTCTAGAGTGCATATTTTGTGCCAGGTACTGATAAAATCACATTCAAATATTAATTTCTTTAAGCCTTATAACATACCTTTGAGGTAGATATACCCACATTACAGATGAAAAGTCACCTTCAGGTGATTTACAGTAATAGCTAATAAGTGACAGACCTGGGATTTGAACTTGGATTGTTTCACTTCAAAACCTGGATGCCCAGTCACCAGGATGAGGTCTATTGTGCAATTGCCATGTACTCCACAGCCTTAAAGAGCAGAGCCTACCTGACTTCTAAGGCCATGTCTCTAGGTAAGGACAGCATTGTACATCTATCACACAGAACAAACATTATTTTATCCTCACTTTCTAATGGAGACAGGATTGTGAAATCATGGAAACAGTAGCCTTAATCTTTGCTTACTATTTCTTCTCTTCTTTGATATTTCAAGAGCATTGGCTAGTCATATTCAGATACAAACAGCTGACAAGTTACTATGGGTAACTTCTCACAGGGTATTTTAAAGGTGAGGTACTGTGAATTCAACCACCATTTAACCTGTTGGAGCTGATATTTATTTAGGGGATTTATTCTAAGGAACTTTGGGAGGTGGACAGTTGAGAGAAAAATGGCAGTTCTATAATAATTTCCATGAAATAAATGAATGAATATAATTGTTATAAGTGTTTGTTTTGAACCTAAGTCATCACAGTTGTTTATCACAACACAAACTGAATTGGTGGTTGAGAATGTTCCATAGCTCTCTCAAAGAAAGGGATGGTGTGAGGGTACAAATTTTATTATAGCTTAGGAGAAGTTAGAATTTGGGGTCTTGAATTCTTTTCTGCTTGGTTCCCCTCTGGGAAAGAGAGGAAAGGGGGTGATGAAGATCCCTGAGGTAAGAGCCTGAGGTAGGTTACATGAAGTCACTTCTGAATATGTACTGGCAGATGAGAGTTTGAGGGACCAGTCCACTTTTTCTCTGATGAACCTAGTGATGTGTTCGGATCACATGGTTGAGCCAATCCATCAGCCATTTCCTTCCTACATAATTCCACAGAGACAAACTCCACTGGCCCGTGTGACGCACAGTGTGTAGACATTTCACACTGTCCCACGGAAGCTGAGAGAGAGAGAGAGATGGATGTCACATTTCTCACACATACTCCCATGGGAAGCACCTGCTTGATACTGGTGCTTTGTGGAGTTTTCCAGAAAGGAAATACAGAAGACAGGTTCTTCAGGATGATTTGATTCCCCAAGTAGCTTCCTGGTGAACTGTCAGAGATTGTCAGATTAGAGTTGGGTCTGTAATGAGTTTTAGATTGGTTTGTAATCAGTCTCTCAAATGCTAGCATGTAATTAAGTACCCAATGTGACAATTTGTCTATGTAAAGCACGTCAGGGACACCGTTTTTCTATGAGCTTCTCATTACCTATGTCAGTCAAAGAATGAGAAAGCCTGGTTTGCCTCAAGGACCCCTTCCATCCACACACTTGACAGTTTGCCTTTTTCTGCTGCAGGGAATGGAAGGCCGAAGGGGACCCCGAGGTGCCTTGGCAAGTATCCTTTACCTCCTGTCCTTTGTGACGGGGGACCAAGGAGATTTCTCCTATCTTGATGGTACTGGGATAAATGAGCATTTGACAAGGATGTTTAGGAAGCGCCCAGCACTGGACATAGGCTCCAGAGTGAAACACAGGCAACCATCAGTTCAGCTTTCAGAACAGGACAGGCTGTCCTAAGGCAGATCATGCATGATTCCAAATGTCATGCATTTGTCTGATTTGCATGTTCATTGGAAACCAATGTACAAGAGAGAAATTCTTTATGAGAGTAAGACGTATGCTTGTGTTTGTTCCTTAGACAGCCTGGAAGAGAAAAATTCTAGGCAAAGTAGGGGATGACCATAAGTCAGACCAAATAGTACCTATGTTCCATGTAAGTATTATAAGGAAAAGATTTCTATGGACCCCATGTGGAGAAAATATTAACACTGGAAAATTCTGTTCATCAGGGAGAACCAGGAAATTCTGGACTTCAAGGCACACCAGGAGCTGAAGGATTACAAGGCCCACAGGTGTGTTGGAATAGCTCATAAACACTGGTAAATAATACGGAGTTATTCTGATGGGAAGAAGACAGGAGAGGTAGTTCTGTGTAAAAATACATAAATGAGAAAATTTAAATCTGCCTCCCATAATAGTCTGTACTTCTCATCATGATTTTTGTTTCATTAAATCTGCTCCAACATTTGCAATTCATTTGATAAGATTTTAGAGGAAATCTGTGCTCTTGTGCTCACCTGATATTGTGTCTGCATGTTGGTAGGAAGGAGTGATTAGTATCTTATATTAGTAATTCATATTAGCATTAATAAATTGTTTTTCTTGTCACTGAGGTCCTGTTCCCAGACTCTCCCAAAGGAAAGTTAGTTAGAAGTTGAAAACTATTATTCAATGCTCCTCAAGATAAATCTACCAGGAACAGCATTTCTGGAGTATCACTGATAGGGCTTTATGTGAGCAACTTGCATTTTTTTGTGATCATATCATTAGTAATAGGGACATTGAAGGTTAGAGCATCTGTCTTGCTCTCTTCCATGCAGAAAGAAGCCATGGCTATCCTTAAAGCATGGCTTTGTCACACATGGGTACTTAGTCACCTTATGGAGCCTACTCTATATGGAGTTCTTATTAAATCTAGGCTTGTCTGGAGAGATCCGTGCAGATGTGCCTATTTGAAGGGCTCCTCAAGATTTCATTTTTCTTTTAGAAAGTTCCAGATTATTGGTACTCAACTGGAATTTGGGATTCTGTTGTGTAGTTCTGGGGTCTCTGAACCAAGTCAAAAGCTAGCAGGCTCTCTAGGTTGAGTAAACATGGATTAGCCTAGATTCACCGATAGCTTTTGAGAAGGAGGGAGTGGGGTGAGTCACTCAGATACTCTGGGGTTCCTTTGCTCCTTGGACAGTGAATCAAGGCTCACCCAGTGGCCTCGGGTCAGCAGAAGCCACTTCACGGCTGGTGCTGTGATAGTGAGGGACATCACTTCTGCTTTGTCCCTCTTGGAGAGAAACCTATATGAGAACCATGCATTTGATGGCAAACAGCAGAAAAATATGCTTTGATCTCTTTCTGTCAGAATATCTGCTGCTGGGTATTCATTACTGCTGACTTGAAACAACTTTGCTCCATATTTTACACGTTGATAAGCACCTTGGCCACTAGTCATCACAGGGAGCCTTTTGACTTTGGGTTCTATTTTCTCCCTTTGGTCTATTTTTATTTCTCCCTGAAGGAGAGGATGAGGGAATTCCTTACTGAAATCCATACCACTGAGTCTGGGCTTGTGCTCACTCTCCTAACACAAGTGTAGCCTCAGAGCAAGAAGGCTGTTTGAAGACTTGGACTATTGCTTTTTCCCTGTAGGGGTGTTTTAAAAATACCACTCAGAAAGCAAGTTTTAGGGCTGGTGGAGTGGCTCAGGTGGTAAGAGTGCCTGCCTAGCAAGTGTGGGCCCCTGAGTTCAAACTTCAGTGCTGCCAAAAAATAAAGAAAAAGAAAAGGAAAGTGAGTTTCATTGCATCCGCATGTATTTCTTTTGTTACTACAAAAGGGGTCAAATGGAAATCCTGGCACGAAAGGAGAAAAAGGAAACCAGGGACACAAAGGACCTCAGGTGAGTGACTCAGAGACATTAGGACCAATGTCTCCTATAGTTTATTGCATATTACCTGCATAGGGATGATTTCATTTTTGGGTTATTGTGGGTCACGTTTTAAAATATTAGCTTACATTAATAGTACAAGGGGAAGTGGGGCACATTTTTAATACAGTTCAGATTCCTTATGCCTAGCTAACACACTCTGCTTTCTTTTTTTACTGGGCTTTTGCTGCTTGGGAGGCAGAGATTGGGAGGATTATGGTTGGAGACAAGCCTGGGCAAAAAATTAGTGAGACCCTGTATCAACAGACAAGCTGTGTGTGGTGATACTCATCTGCAATCCCAGCTATGGAGAGAGGAATAAGTAGGAGAATTGTATCTCTTGTGTTTTTCAGGGTTCTCTTGGGCTTCCAGGACCTGAAGGGAACATGGGAAGACCTGGACCTTTGGGAAGAAAAGTAAGTATTATTTTTTATGGATTTAAAGTGTTAAGAGCCAAGGACCTGCATCTCTCTGTAATTCATGTGAATTTCTTGCCTAACTGCATCCAAGCAGTTGAACCATGTGTGTTCTGATACTGGGTTCTTTTCTGCCATTGAGCAAGAAATGTCTAATGCTTACCTCTCCAACAAGCTGCTCCTTTCACAGGAGAGGCCTTGATCTCATCCATTGGGAAGGAATGCAGAAAAGTCTCTTCTGCTCCTGGTTTCCTGATTGCAGGAAGGCATTTGGTGGCTCAATTGGGTGGGGAGGGGATGTCAGAACTTAAGGCTCAGGTGTGTAATTCTCCATCTGACTCGACCCACCAGAGCTGAGGAGGTTCTGGTGGGGATGATCAGGGAGCATCACAATTTGACTCCCCTGGGCTGGGGTGTGACTCAAGTGGGAGAGTGCTAGCAAGCCTGAGGCCCTGAGTTCAAACCTAAGTACTACCAAAAAAAGAGAGAAAGAATCAGACTTCCCTGCTTTAAATCTTTCAGTTATGGGCACCAGTGGCTCACACCTGTAGACCTAGCTACTTGGGAGACTGAGATCAGGAGGATCACAGTTCGAGGAAAGCCCTGGAAAATAGTGTACAAGACCCCATCTCCAAAATAACCAGAGCAAATGGACTCGAGGTGTGACTCAAGTGGTAGAGCACCTGCTTTGCAAGCTCAAAGCCCTGAATTCAAACCCTAGTCCTACCAAAAAAAAAACCAAAATCAAAACCAAAACAGTAGCAACAATGACAAAACCTTTCAGTGTCTCCCTCCCAGGGCTGGCTTCGGGGACCTGGGGTCTGTGCAGTCACATGGGGCCTCCTGAGAATACCCTTGCTGGGATTAATGCTCTGCTGTCAAGCAAGATGTTGGAACTCTTAATTTTTGAGCAAAGGACCTAAGTTTTCCTTTTACACTGAGCCCAGAGAACTATGTAGTCAATTTCTCCTCTCCATGCCCTTGGAAAATCTTCAGACTTTAAGGTAATAATAAGATAAATAAGTCCTGCAGAGCTAATGTGCAGCAGGGTGGCTAGAGTTCACTGGATTGTATACTTGAACTTTTATTTAAGAAAATGCTCTCACTAACTAAAGCAGACACTTTAAAGCAACCAAGACCAATAGGAGAAGGGGAACAGGAACTAGAGAAAAGGTTAGATCAAAAAGAATTAACCTAGAAGGTAACACACACGCACAGGAAATTAATGTGAGTCAACGCCCTGTATAGTTATCCTTATCTCAACCAGCAAAAACCCTTGTTCCTTCCTATTATTGCTTATACTCTCTCTTCAACAGAATTGGAGATAAGGGCAAAATAGTTTCTGCCTGGTAGCGAGGGGTTAAGGTGGGGAAGGGAGGGGGGGGGAAGAGAGGGGGTGGGGAAGGGGGGAGAAATGACCCAAACATTGTATGCACATATGAATAAAATTAAAAAAAAGAAAATGCTCTCACTATAAGGAAAAGAATGGTAGCAAGTTGGGGCAGTAGGTATATCAGCCAACTTGGTTGTGACAGCCATTCCACAGTGTATACACATAGCACATCATCACATCAAACTCCTTAAGCTTACAGTTTTGTTTGTCACTTACACCTCAGTCAAGCTGGATGTGTGGCGGTAGCTTACAGGGCCCTTCGTTGTTTTCCCTGTTTAATTCCAAGGCTGCTCAGCTCCCCTCCCCCCTGCAAGCCAGCTCCGGCTTCTCCAGAGCCATTGCCTTCCATCTGCTGGGGCCATTCTCACCCTCCCTCTCCTCTTCGCCTGGCCCACACCCTGTCCTTTGGCCCTCTGGTCCTTTCCTGTAGGACTCCTCCTCTTTTTGCCCCCATAGCACCCCGAAATTTATCACACCATCTCTCTTTTCAACCAGGCTGGGCTGGGTGAGGCCTGGACCACTCTGTCATGTTCAGTCATTCATTTCCAGGACAAGAAGCAAGTGTTGGGTGGACAGCTACAACAGCAAATGAGCCAGCAATCCTGGAGAGAATTTTCTAGCTTTTTCCTTCTCCTCAGTCCTTTGTAGTACTGGGAAAGCCACACTCGATTTCAGCCCTGGGCTGTGCTAAGTGTTTTCTCTTGTCCTTTGGGGAGATCATTACTTGTGTCTTTCACCCTGTCCTCCAACTGAGTGCTGACTGGTCACTAAGGACTGGGATACCCCCACAGTGAGCAGAACTTCCTGTGCTGGGTGCCAGGTTTGTTTGTCCTGCACTGAAGGGTTTTTTTTGTTTCATTTATCAGGGAGAACCTGGAGTTCTTGGGGTTCCAGGGCCCGTGGGGCCCCCCGGACAGCGAGGAAAGCAGGTATGAGGTTTGAAACCCTCTCCTTTCTGCTGTGTGCTCAGTTCTGAGGTAAGCAGAAGAGGCCGGCCACCACCTGAGGCATGGAAGGCATTCAGTGTCTAGGAAGATGTGAAGATATTTCTCCCACTCCCACAGCTCTCCTCTGCAGCTACTGTGTCTGTTAAAGTAAGGGAGAATTACACAGGGAGGCAGAGAGGATCATGGATGAGTTCGAACATGACATTTCAATGTTTTAGCAACTAGTTTGGCTAGGTAGATAAATGTGGGTTGAAAAACAAGGACTGGGTATGGTGGCATACTCTTGTAATCCCTGCTGCTTGGGAAATGTAGATCGGGAGGATATTGGTTCCAGGCCAACGTTGGCAAAAAGTTAGTGAGGCTCCATCTTATTCAAGAAGCTGGGTGTGGCAGTATACATCTGTCATCCCAGCTATGAAAGGCATAGGTAGGAGAATTGTGGTCCAAGGCTAACCCAGGCAAAATCACCAGGCTCTTTCTGAAAAAATAACTAAAGCAAAAAAACAAAACACTGGGGGAATTGCTCAAATAGTAGAGTGCCTGCTAACAAGCAATAGGCTCTGAGTTCAAACTCCAGTACTCCCCCCACCAAAGTGCCCATCTTTGTGTGATCTAATGAGAAAAATAACAAAAAAAGAAAATTTACTAAGCATAAAACATAGCCAAGGTTGATGATCTCATCATTTTGAGAACGTTTTTCCACGTCAGTACATTTTTCTCTCAATGTCACTCTTACTACCTTGAAAATATTCTACTAAATACCTTGGCTTATTTGACCAGTCCTTATTATTAGAGATTTAATTTGCTTTTAGTTTTTAACATCACAGTAAATTATTTTGGGGGAGGGGGAGGGGCTGGGGCTAGAACTCGGGGCCTTGTGCATGCTAGGCAAGCACTGTGCCACTGGGCTATACTCCCAGCCTGACATTCTTATACCTAACTAGATTATTTTTGGACAAAACCATAATTTTTACTTTTTGCCTCGCTGGGGATTAAACCCAGAGCCCTATGCATACTAAGCAAGTGTTCTACACTGAGCTACATTCCTAGCCCCAAAATTACTCTATAGAAATGTCTGGAATTTGCCTAGCTGTGTCAAAGAATATGTTTGTGTTTATTTAACACAACTTTTAACTCTACTTCATGTACCCTTAGGAAAAGTTAAACAGATAGGTTCATATGTTATGTACATGAGGGCTTGTTTTAGGGCCTCCATACCAACATGGGTATTGTAACTTTTCTCCCCTCCCTTCACCATTGATAAAAATGGTATCTCCTTACTGTTTCAAATTCCATTTCTTTACTTACTGCTGAGGATAAATTACCCCCTCCCCACATATATCTATCAGTCATTTAGAGCTTCTCACCCATACTCTTAGGACCAACTCTGAATTTTGCAGGCAGGAAACTGACCTTGAACGCACAAATCCTGAGCGACTGCCCCTCTACTTCCCACCTTGCTGCAGAGTGGAGCTGATCAAGGAAGTAAGGGGCACACACCAGAAGTAAAGAAACCCCAGCAGCACATGTGTTCCTAGGGTTTAAGGTCACTGAGTAGGGCCTCTCCATCTGGAAGCCCACAACACTTCTCTCCCAACACCATCATCTCCCAATATAGGTAACAATTTTCACCTTTGAGAAATTGAAACAAATTGGTGTGTTTGCAGGGAGATTATGGCATCCCGGGCTATGGTCAGATGGGACGAAAAGGATTAAAGGTAAATATGGAAATGATAATGATTTTAAGTTGATAACTCAAAGTTAAATAATACCAGAAGCAATGGTCATACTGAAGAAGTAGTGTGTTGATCTGTTTATGTTTTCTGCTGAAAATTACAGGGTCCAAAAGGATTTCCTGGAGATATGGGGCAGAAGGTATTGTGCGCATGAACCTCTTCTGTCATTGCCATGATCTTGACTTTCTTCCTGAGACTTGAGATAAGCCTGTAGGTCTGAATGCAGTAGAGTGGGAGTGGGGAAAGCAGGGCAGTTGTCTTCCCTGGGCATCAGAAGCAAAGGACTTGGACTTAACCCTAATGAGTCTTTATATTGGAAGAGATGGTCCTGTCATTGCCTGTTGGCTCATGCCTTGAAGCTCCAGTTTGATTCTCCATCTGTCCTCTGGATCTCCCTGCCTTGGTGGTCTCATCCAATACCTTGATTACTGCTAGTTGTCCTTCACTGTTGTGACCTTTGTCTCTTCTCACTTGGAAAATTACAGTATTCCTCTCACTGGACTTCCATTTCCATTATCTTCCTGCTTCAGTTAATCCTTGTGACTACTGTCACTAGATTTTTTTCCCCCCTAAAACATAGACAAACTATGATACTTTCTTGATTAAACATCTTCCAGAATTCCTTGCTGCCCACAGGTTGAAACCCATCTTCATATTGTAGAGCTAGGCACATCCTCTATTTCAACCACAGTAGCTCACATTACATGAATATACTAGGATTCTGTATTTTTAAATAATTTTTCACTAGGATATATTTGTTATACAGGGGGGAAGTCATAGTGACAATTCCAATTAGACTTATATTACATATATTGCATATTATTACATATATTGCATTGCCCCCTTGGCCCCCTCCCCACCCCACATAAAACAATTGCAAGAGGTTTCTTAGTTCTGTTTTATATAGGTATATGCAGTCCATCTACCATATATCCTTCACCTTCATCTTCTTCCTTCCCCCTCCCCCCTCCCACTCGTAGTCTCCCCCACGGTACCTATTTTACAGTCCTGGTTTCTGCTATTAATATTTAAGTTGATGTTCAAAGGGGTATCTCAGTGTATGCCCACTGTGGATATACTTTACTTTGGTCCATTCAACCCTTCCATTACTCTCCCTTACCCCTTTACCTCCCACCCCCCATTTTTCAACAGCTTTCACTACACATCCTTATATCCTCTACCTTCACATCTTATGTTTTATGATATTACTGATTATCTATCATTCTCTTTTCCTTTCCCTCTTTCTCCAAGTTCCATAGAGTAGTTCCACTGTTACAAACATGTTCTACTTCTGAGTTTGTACACGATCATGCTCGTTTTTGTGTGTATGTTTATCTTTGGATCTATCTTCCACATATGAGAGAAAACATGAGGCTTCTGTGTTTCTCAGCCTGGCGTACTTCACTGACATGATGTCCCCCAATTCCTTTTTTTAAAAAGTGTCTAGAACAGTGTTTTCTACATAGTTGATGCTCAAATCAAAATCCAAAATATGAGCTGAAAAAATGGAATGTCTAATTAATCAAGTATAGGAAAACAGCCCATTTTTGGAGGCTCTTAAAGTATTTGTAACTGATGAATTGCCAGAATAGATTCTTTCCTTAGGTAGAAAAAAATGTGCAAGAAGAGAATAAATAACTATTAGGACAGGAGTTTTCATTGTAGAGGATCAACTTTATAATTTACTGATAAAGGAGAAAATTAGGATTTTTGATTTATTGATAAATGTGAATTGAGCATGTTGATAAATAATTGTTAAAATTAGTTTCCCACTGAAGTCTGAGTAGTATTTTTTAACCTTCAATTTTTTCAGAAATGAGTCACAAATTTAGGAAGCAATTCATTATTTAGTATCATATGTAGTTAATACTCCAAGTGTTTTCTCTACTTTTCAAGCATTTTCTTTGGCTGTTTTTAGTAACTGGATATCTACTGATTTTATATTTATATGTAAATATTTGTGTTAATAAAACGTTAAAAGTTATTTAGGAGCTATCTGAGTATACTAATGGTTTCCAAACGGCAGGAAAAGATGGCACTTAATGTTGCTTTGGCTACCATTAATATAAAAAGTATAATCATTATTGTAAGGTCAACTAAACTTTGGTTTCGGATTTTATTCTTTCAAATATTTTGATATCTTAGTTTCTTCTCTCTGAATCTTCAGGGTGATGTCGGTGATCCTGGGATTCCTGGGGAGCCTGGACCCAAAGGATTTAGGGGACTAACAGTAAGTGGCCATGACTCCAGAAATAATCAATGTTTCTTTTCAGACTGTGGCTTTCAGATGGATTACTGATGTGTCCCAATGATATCTGAAATGCCACTAGCTAGCTATATGACCTATGACATGCCTCTTCAGGGTCTCTACTTCTGTAACATAAGAATTGAACTTAGTGACACCTAAAGTCACGTTCAGCTATAAAAGTCTATGGATCCATGAATCTGAAGTATTTTAAAGATTTACAGATGATGACTGGCTGTTGCAGAAACATTAGGGCCTTCCAGTCTTTTCTAAGGCACACATAATCCCAGAATGTTAACCCTGGGAGTGGAACGGAGTGACTTCTTCCCTCTGTTTTCCCAAGGGCTATCCAATTCCAGTCTCCATAGGAAGATCATACGGGGTGTTTGTTTTAAGTAAGAATATTCAGATCTTGTAATTAGCAAAGTAAACTGGAATATTACACTTGCTTACTTATAAAATGCTGAGACAAGCATCCTTTCATTTGAAAGTTTGAGTATCGTGTCAGTGGTCACCTTCAGTGTGACAAATACAATTCAACAGATACTTTCCATCTGACTGGGTACATTTCATTATTATCCCTACCCACCACCTCGAGTATGGGACTAACACACTCCATCATGTCCTGTTATGTGTGTGGGGAATCATTTTTTATTGGCTTACATTAGTTGTATGAGGGGTTTCATTGTGATATTTACATATATGCTTACACCGTATCTTAGATTTACGCCTCCATTGTTCTCCTCCTTCCCCCTCCCCACTTTTTAGAACAATTTTAGTAGGTTTCATTGTTCTATTTTCATACACATATATACACAGTACACTGACCATACTTGGTTGACCTTTTATAGATAAGAGATTTTTTTAAAAACCAGATTTCTGTATGCTCTGGTACATTTGGTTTTTTTATTAGTACTAATCTTGGTTTATTAATTTAAATATATAGCCAGTGCCCACGCAAAGTGTGTGACAGGACTAAGAGGGAAATGGATGCTTACCAATGATTAAGAATGGGCGGTTAATATTATAAAGTAATCAATTTATCTGACTCAAATTAATATCTGCCCTATTTATTTTTAATCTATTATTAATTTTGTGGAACCCAAGTCCTTGCACATACTAGGCAAGTGTTCTACCACTGAGCTATGCCCCCAACCCAGTTCCTTTCCCTTCGCTGAATTTTTTTTCTTTTGGTGGTACTGGGACTTGAACTCATGGCCTCACACTTGTTGGGCTTGCTAGGCAGCTGCTCTCCCACTTATATCACTTTGTGAGCCCCTGATTCCTCTCTCTTAAAAACCATTTTTGAAGATTATAAAGTCTCTTTAAAACAGAAATAGTCTCCTTGGGTAGAAAATGTTGACACTAACCTATGTTCCTCTCTTCAGCTCTCTGTAGGCTTGAAAGGTGAAAGTGGAATTCAGGGGTCGAAAGGCTCTCCTGGACCAAGAGTGAGTATTCTCGAGAGTGAAGCAGTGCTTATGGCTTCTGCTGTATTCAAGAGAGGGGAACCCAGAAGCACTGGGTTCAAGTACAGATCCTGGACTTGATTTGTACCAGCCAGGTGCTGGGGCTTTCAGTTTATTTCTAAAATCCAGATGGCATATCCTGTCCTAACCTCCTCAAAAGGTAGCTGCAAGGATCAGATAATTGAATGCAAATAGTGTGTTAGCTATAAAGTGCCATGCATATATCAGCTGTTGTGATTTGTTACTGAAGTCTTTAACATGGACAGGATTGCATAAGCTTCACAGAGTTGTTCCAGCAAAGCTCAAAAGTCAGGCTGATTGGGTTCACTAAAAGCACTGTTGTTATCTTCCTATCCTCAACATTTAGACTAGCGAGATTTAACCACAACTTTTCACTATGATTCCACTGTGGGAGAATTGTTGCTTCTGGAAGCCTTGCCAGCCAGAGCCAGGCACATCTCCCACTGACAAAATACCTGTATCTCTATTTTAGTGCCTCTCTGTAACCACCGTGATTTAGTTACACATCTGTCTTCCCTCCCAAGCGGTTAGGTAAGAACTAAATCTGGTCAGCTCCTGAGTTTTGTGGAGGAGGCCCAGGCAGGATTGTGTAGAGTGAATACACGGTTTATCTTGTTATATGCATTGAAGTGGTCTTGACCTTAGGACTTTATAAGAAGAAACCGTGGATGGTTTCGTGGTCAGCCACATCTGTAGTAGAATGAGAGAATCCTGACTGTGAAGGAAGCTGTGCTGTCATGCTTTTTTTGTTTGTTTGTTTGCATTGGGGAATGGGTATATATTCTTAGTCATGTGGGTGTCTAGGCCAGTCTGGTCCATTCTGGGTTTATCACCTTTCTAGATCCTGGGGCTGTTATTTGGGGGCCTCATGTTTTCCTGGTCTTGTGCTTGGTTGGGCTGGTCTGAATGGGGATGTGGTTTCTTTGTCTGAAGTCATTGGTCCTCAGTCTTTGTTAAGAACTTGCTCAAGATCTTTTTTTCTTGTGGTACTGGGGTTTGAACTCAAGGCCTCAAGCCTGCTAGGCAAGTGCTTTCTACCACTTGAACCACTCCATTAGCCCTCACAATTTTTCTTAATCTCGTTGTCTCAGGACACATTCTCCACAGTTCTGGTTCTCTATAAAAAGCAGGCTGCCTTCTCTACCAGTCAGAAACTGTTCCTCTCTCTGTTTAAATGGCCATATGTTCTTTTCTGCCTAACTTGAATAATGAAGGCTAAGACTCTGCTTTGTTTAGTGATTTGGGTCAGAAGAACAACTTGCTTCAGTAGGTAGAATCATGGATGTCACCAGTTCTGATTAATATTCGCAGCATGCCATAGGCCACCCTAGCATTCAGCAGACCTTTAACTATTTACTGGATGGATGGAGGGTGGATGGGTAGGTGGATAGGTGGACAGGTGACCCAGCTGTCATTTAGAACCAAGATTTCTTTTTCTGTTTTGTACAGTAAAAATTTAATGAACAAAGCAAAATAAGAAATGGACTATTTAAAAATAACACATTTTGTTATACTAACCAGTGTAACAGTGCAAATATAAAAGTGTAAATAATATCATATCACCAAAAATAACTGAAATCTTATCAATAGTTAAGTAATAAACATTTCAATAGATGGATAGATGAATCTGCATGGATGAAAGAGAAAAGTGTCCTGAGAGTTGACAATGTAGAACAGAGGTTCTTATGCTGACATCTGTGGCTGAGCTTCTGGTGGGTGCCAATGAAAATGCACGAGTATGAAGATGTAGGATTTTCTGAATGAGCACGCTCACTTTCTTTAGTTGCTCAAAGAGATCTGTGTGGGAAAATCTATTAAGAATGGCTGTGACTTATCATTCGCAAGTAAATGGATGGAACTGGAGAACATCATTCTGAGTGAGGTTAGCCTGGCCCAAAAGACCAAAAATCCTATGTTCTCCCTCATATGCAAACAGTAGGTCAAGGGCAAACACAACAAGGAGATTGGACTTTGATCACATGATAAAGCGAGAGCACACAAAAGAGGTATGAGGATAGGTAAGACACCCAAAAAACTGGATAGCATTTGTTGCCCTCAATGCAGAGAAACTAAAGCAGATACTTTAAAGCGACAGAGGCCAATAGGAGAAGGGGACCAGGAACTAGAGAAAAGATTAGTTCGAGAAGAATTAATTTAGAAGGTAACACACATGCACAGGAAAGCAATGCGAGTCAACTCCCTGTATAGCTATCCTTATCTCAACTAGCAAAAACCCTTGTTCCTTGTTTCTCTCTTCAACAAAATTAGAGATAAGGGCAAAACAGTTTCTGCCTGGTAGCGAGGGGTAGAGAGGGAGAGGGAGTGGGTGGGGAGGTAAGGAAAGGAGTGGGGGGGAGGGGGGAGAAATGACCCAAACATTGTATGCACATATCAATAAAAGAAAAAGTAAAAACTTAAAAAAAAAAAAAACCAAACTAACAACCAAAAAAAAAAAAAAAAAAGAATGGCTGTGAACAAGAAGTCTGATCCTGATGAAAGGAAGCAAGAAGAAGGCAAGGCAAAAGCTCAAACTGCTGAGAAGCAGAACCAACTTCCTTCCAGAACCTCCCAGGACCTGCTCTTCAGATACAATTATTTGTATTCCTGGGTTCCACAAACTCTTGGCACCTGTGAGCTTACTGTGTATGTTTCTCTTGTGTAAGGTGATCTTACTATGCACTTCTCTCTGTTTTCCATGTATGTTGAAGATGTTTAAACTTTATCATCTGTAGTATAACTGTACTTCTAAATTCTCAATTCACCCCTCTCTTTAGCACTGCCCTTTTGAAAGTCTGTTGCTTATAATTTTAAACATTTTTATAAGAAATGCCTTTTTCTAAGTATTGAATCTTTAATACAAATATTTTTAAGAAATACTCTTTTTTTTTTTTTGAGGTACGAGGGATTGAACCCAAGGTCTTGTGCTTGCTAAGCAAACACTCAATCACTGAGCTACATCCCCAGCCTCCCCCCCACCTTTTAAACTTCTTACCAATCTAAAAATAATTCAGTTCATTTTGGAGAGCCATTAGCTTACCTGATCTAACCCTAACACACAAGAGTTTACACTCTGGGTATAGCGGAGCATGCCTGTAATCACAGCACTGGGGAGGCAGAAGCAAGAGGAACTCAAGTTTGAAGCCAGCCTGGACTATGCAGCAAGACTCCATCCAAAAAAACAAGCAAGCAAGCAAGCAGGCAAACAAAAAGAGTACATCCCACTGGGTTTAGGAGCCTTTTAACCCCTCTCTGTCAACTGTACTTTTAGGAAATAAGGTTTTTACATTTTGTTGTCTCTTTATTTTATCAATAAAGATCCCAGTTCACAAACATATTAATAATTTGCTCTATTTTTGTTCCCCTAGGGTGCCAAAGGCATGGCAGGACAGCCTGTATATTCTGTATGTATCTCCTCAATCACGGGGGACCCAGCCAGGTCACTGGAAATAAACACAACCACTGGGAGGCCACCAGACTCATGTTGCTCTCTCTCTCTCTCTCTCTCTCTCTCTTTCTCGCAATTCACAGCAGTGTGACCTGATTCAGTTCGTGCGGAACAATAGCCGTGAGTATCTGTGTGTCGTGGGTAAGAGCACCAGTGTTGATGAGGGCGTAGGACTGAGCGTGGTGTGGGGCTGTGGAATCAGAAAGCTAAGTTCACTGGTGGAGAAGCCTCTGTAACAGGATTGCCTCAAGTACCTACTGTGGGGACACCTCACATCAAAGATGGAGGAAAAGGACTATAAGCATCCGAGCTCATAAGGTGTGATGCATGCAGGAAAAGCAAATACACATTTGGGAAACAATTAGAGACCATCTTAAAAGTGTTTGAATTAGCTCAATTATTACTATGACAAGTGTGTGCCAACGGACCAAGAGGGCATGGTAGTAAGGAGAGGTACCTAAGGATTCAGAGATGGTTGGTTACTTAGTTACTTAGATGCTGAACCCAGTCAAGGGCTGGTGGTCCTTAAAACCACAGAGATGATGATATTCTCAATGCTGTGGAAGTAAGGAGTCAAAAATGCAAGGGATGAACCCAGAAAAATGTGTTGGCCAAGGTACAGAACAATGGCACTCCAGAGAGGACAAAAGTCCCCAGTATAGACAGCCTAAAAGAAGGTAGGAAGAAGGAAGTCAATGGAGAGGTCCAGAGGGAGGGGACAGTGTGGAAGACCTTGCTTGAGTGGTAGCAAGGTTCGTTAACACAGAAGAGGAGGTGAGAACTAGGGACTGGGACCACAGGGAAGGAAGAGGGAAGAGCCGTTATGGGGAAATGAGTATGGCCATCAAACTTTCTCAAAGTGTTGCCAGCCTTCTCAGTGACATCAAATGATGTCTGACCAAGAACACCCACGGTAAGTGGAAAGAGCCCAGTAGGTGAAGACCAGTCATGGGAGGGTCTGGGACTTGAAGTGACAAGTTTTCCAATATTAAGTGAAGGGAGTTAACCAGTGTTTAGAGGGTTGAAGAAGAGTGGGTGGGGGTTCCATAACCACCAAGGGTGCTGACTGGATTAGCTTGGAGTTCCTAAGTACAGAATGGAGGCAAGGCTTCGGTAACAGATCTTTAGAGCTTTGTAGATGACATCACCAAGGCCCCTTGAGGTTGGACTGCTAGTAAAACATTCTTTGCTCTCCAGTCCTGAATCAACTTTGTCACTCAGAGATTAGGGCCAGGTCTTGAGCTGGTGACTGGGATCCTTCCCTGAGAATAAAATAGATCTAGGAATGGGGGAACAGAAAGAGAAAGTTGGTGGTGGGGAATTAAAGAGGTCCCAACGGTTAGTACTTTGAAGGGAGATCCATAAACTGAAGAATTTCAGGAACACTAAATAAATAAGCATACTAAAAGAGCTGAAATCATTTCTCCTCAAATCATGCAGTTTTGATAGATGCCAACATGGTGGGCAAGTTTAGATTCTGGGCCTGTAGCCTTGTGGTTGGGTCTGAAGTTAGCATAGGCGAGTTCTCAGTCAATAGAAGGGGTGTGTTTTCAGCCTTGAGATGCAGACGAAGCCATGGGTTTGGTGTGCTGTCTGATATCCACTGGCATATCTGTGGTCACGGGATTAAGACAAACATGAAGTGTTCGTTGGGTGACTGTAAGGGACTGTGGTTGGGTGACAGGGTGGAAGGTCAGTCTACCACTTCTACTAGATTGGAGTTACTCACTTACTTCCTAGGAATTGAATGCACTAACCATGGATATTGTCGGGCCTGTGATTTCTTAAAAGATTTAACAGCACTTTCCCTGATGCTTGTAAAGGGAGTTTATAGAGTAAATCAGCTAAAGAGACCAGATGCTGCCCTGCTCAGAGAAACCCTTGGGGTTTTTCTCTTCCTTTGTCTGGATGTGGAGCTTGCTCACACAGAGGAGCTATATTTTTTAATCTGACACAAAGTTCATTTGAAAACCACCCTATGGTTCCATGGGAAAATAGAGGTTCCCAAGGTGTTCATCAAGGAAGAAAATAAGACCCCATATTTTAGCCTTGTGTTGCTGAATGACTCTCAGAGGGCTCTAAGAAAAGAGACAAAGCAAATTGAATTTCAGCTGTTCTGACATTTAATCAGGGCCTTGTTGATTCTGCTTTTAAGACAAGAGATCAGTGTTTCAATTTCAAACAAAATTCTTCTGAAAGTCTGCTGGTCGTGGCTCACAAGGGGAAGAAGAAAAGGAATGTTCACAGATGAATAAAATGCTGTGGACAGCACCTCGATCCTTTAACCTTGGCCTTAGAAATTGGCCTCGTTTTCATTTAGTCAAATAACATCACAAGCGTGGTTGAAATTTTGGTTTTTTGCATTGTTTTTTGATCCATAGTCCAAAAATGTAACAGGCTCTTCTTTCTTTCTCTCCTTTTTATAGCTTGTTGGAAAGGTGAGCATTCTTACCACCCTGTTTCTTGCTGAAATCATTTGTGAGTTGTGACAAGATCAGACTGAAAGAAACCCTCACGTCCATGGGAAAAAGGACTTCTTCCTTCTATGCAGACATCTCTGTCTTTTGATTATGACTATAGTATCAGTGGCATGTTTTGGCCTGATCGTAGCATGGTGACCCCTTCCCATAGTCCCTCACACTGTTGTCCTTTATAGGGTGTCTTCACATAGTAGGCCTTGTGTTGCTGAAGGATTCAGGGAACAGGGTTCTGACCTACCCACACTTTGTTGCTCTGCGTGCTGCTGTGGTCATCCACACTGGCTTCTCACACTGTGATGTATCCTCGTCCTACGGACCCATGTTCCCACCTGTCATCTCCCTAAGTGCCCACCACGTGTAAGCCTTTACTCTGCCCATGGATGGTCGTGCTAGGGCCTAGACTGTAGTGGGTGCTGTGTGATTCTTTAGGTCCCTTGGATGACATGGCCACTGAAACCAATGTCAACTTCAGGGACCCCTGGTCTCCTACTTGAAGGAGGCTCTCAGGATCTTAGAGCTTGTCCTAAAGTCTGGAGCTGTTCATTTTGATTCTAAAAAAAAAATACCTTGCATATGGTAAGTGTGCAGTAGAACTTCATAAGTTTGCACTAAATGTATCAGGTACCTTGCTGGGCCCTGAGGGAGGGAGCCAACAAATAGCAGTCGATTCTACCTGCCAGAAGGACCTGTGAGGATAGGTCACAGCAGATGCTTTGCAACTGTTGGCTACTAGTTTTTAGTACAGGGCTAAGAAATAGGAATACTTTGTTTTTCTTATTGTGCTATTCATTATTAGCTTTTCTTTGGTGGTGTTGGGGGCTGACTCAGAGCCTTGTGCTCCACCACTCAAGCCATGCCCCCAGCCCTTTTTCTGCTTTATTTTTCAGTTAGGGTTTCACACTTTTGTTCAGGCCAGCCCAACTGTGATCCTCCTACCTCCACCTTCTGAGTACCTGGGGTCATGGGCATGAACCACCATGCCCAGCTTGTTTTTTTGAGATAGGGTCTCACTAACTTTTGCCTGGGCTAAACTTGGATGGCTCTCCTTCTGTCTCTACCGCCTGAGTAGCTGGGATTACAGGCATGTGTCTTCAGTTTTAACACATGCATAGATTCATGTAACCACCACTCCGATCAGAACACAGAACAGTTCCTGAAAACTCCCCAATTTCCTTTTAAATGCAGACTAATAGTGGGCTATGAATTCTGAGCAATATATGGCAAAGTATTAATGCTCTACGTTCATGAAATGCCTTCAAGTTTACAATGCACATTTGTCTCCTTCTTTTACAAATGGGCAGCCTTCCTTCTAGAGTTGTGTAAAGCCCTGGCTTCACCTCTTGTCAGTCAGCTTCACAGGAGTGAAGGGTTTGGGAAAAACTCAGACCCCGTGAAACAATTCAGTCCTTCTGCTGTTTGTTTTTGTAGAAAAGTGTCCTGCGTATCCAACAGAGCTGGTGTTTGCCCTGGACCAATCCTCTGATGTCACAGAACAGAGATTTAATGAAACAAGGGACATCATTATTTCCACTGTGAATGACCTTAACATCAGGGAAAATAACTGTCCTGTGGGAGCCAGAGTTGTCGTTGTCTCCTATGACTCAGACACCAGCTATCTCATCCGTTCGTCTGACTACAGGAACAAGAAAGAACTCCTCCAGCTTCTTTCTCAAATAAAATACCAAGTGCCCATGGAGGCCCAAGACATTGGCAGGGCAATGAGGTTTGTGGCCCACAGTGTTTTCAAGCGGACATTGGCCGGAGCCAATGTGAGGAGAGTTGCAGTGTTTTTTAGCAATGGTCAGGCAGCCAGTAGGTCATCCATCCTCATGGCCACCATGGAGTTCAGTGCTCTGGATATCATCCCTGCCGTCTTTGCTTTTAATGAACGAGTGTTCTTTGATGAAGCCTTTGGGGTAAGAATTTCCCTTGATAATTTTGTAATTTTTAAGTATTGGTATGGTAAAGATGGGAGTGGTGGGGAGTTGGGGAGATGTGTGACCTTGATCCTCTGCAGTTTTGCAGGTTCATTGTTGTCAGTAACCATGAAATCCAATACCTTGTAATAACACGTTTGCTCAGCTCTTGTTGTGTGCTGGGAACTGGTGACAAAGTGGGGAATATAGACTTGTATATTCTCCACTTGTCATCTCCAAGTTAAAAATGAGAGAGCAGAGGTTCAGCGTGTTCCAGTGACTTGTCCACTTCTGTGTAGCTACTAAATGGCCAGGTCAAGATGCAAATCAGGCCTGTCTGAAATAAAGGGCCATGAACATGGGACTCTATCAGCTCTCTGTTGCTCTGGTGTTTCTCAGATTTGCTATCTGCTTGCTTGGCTCACTGAAAAGTTGATCTTATCTTCTGATGGATAAAGAACAGGGAATCTTTTAACTCCTAACATGGTACAAAACATATGATGTGTGGGTTATTTACTCCTAAAGAGGTCATATGACTTTTGGATCCACAGATTTTAAGGAATCACTATTCCCATCTCTTCAAGAAAACCTCAAAAGCTTCTCTATCTACTGTCTAATGACTTTAAAATGTATTCAGGTTATCCATGGAGTACTTGTTACTGGAGTTGAGTAGAATCACCACGCTGTTCAAGAGGTGATGGTCTCTTTTCAAACAAATACGTGTATTTCTACTATAAAAAGAAAGAGAAGCTCTATATAACAGACTCAGTCTAAGAATTTTCTGGAACTCAGAGCCACAGAGTTGCAACAGATCCCAACAAAAGGACTATGGGAATTTGAGATCCTGCGGTTTTCCAATTTTTCTTTTCAAAGTTTTTCTGCCTCCCTAATTTTGCTCCCTGGAGGAAACAAGTGATATTTCTGCTTTGAGAGCTGCATCAAATTCTAGAATTGGAGAAAACTGTAGGACATCAAATTCAATCCTTATCCTTCAGGAGGACCATGTCAAAAGCCCACAGAGTCCCCAGCAGAGAAGAGCATCAGCCATCTTGTTAACAAGTCATTTCAAATCACACCATGTCTCCAGCTACTGACCCAAGAAGTTACTTCTTATCAGTTTGCTCTTACCAGAAAATTGCCTCACACACTAATTCTGGTTGTGTGTGTGTGTGTGTGTGTGTGTGTGTATACTACAGTGTCTGCATACACACTTAGGGTACTTGTATTTATTAGTAAATACTGAATACTTAGTATTCACTTAAGTCCTTGTACTAAGTAATTATATAAGTACTAGTATCAGTGCTCTTAATAAAAACTATATATCCAGAACTTGACCACTTCTGGCACCTCCTTGGTCTAAACAATCATCACCTCTTACCTGACCTATGCAGTCACCTTTTCTTTAGTGTCCCCATCTCTATTCTTGCCCTGCTATGCTCTGTCTCATGTCAGCTGCCATGGTAATCCCATTAAACCCTAAGACACCAGGTGGCTCCTCTGCTCACAATCCCCTAGTGGCTCCTTATTTCTCTGGAAGTTAAGGTTAGGTATTCAGGGTGACCCGCCAGACTCTAAATGATTGTTCCCCAACCCTCTTATTATCTCTCTGACTCACTTCCTCTTCCTCTTGCTCTCACTTGGTCCACCTCAAAGACACAATCCTTCCCACTGATCCTCAAACAACCAGGCACACACTTGTTTCCAGGGAGCTTTGCCCTCACTGTTCTTTGTGCCTGAAATTGTCTTCTCCCAAGTACCACTGCTTCCTTCTCACCCTTCGAATTTTTGTTTAAATGCCATTTTCAGAGAATTCTATTTGACTCTTACACCAACCTTTCCCATCTCTATTACCTGCTTTTTTTTTTTATATAAAAATTATTACTTCACAACGTGTTAGACGTTTACATATTTTTATGTTTATGGTATATCACCCCCTATTAGAATGTAAGATAAAAGTTTTTTCTGGTCTTTTGATTCTAGATCTCCAGCAGCAAAATTGTACCTGTAACATAAGAATTCAATAAAATATTTGTAGTATGGCTGAATGAGGAGCATGTGGTTAGTTCCTATGAATTAATTTCCTTGGTTAACCAAGGTCAAATACAAAATAATATCCAAACCATCCAATTTCATAAAAAGCAGAGAGTAGGAATATAGCAAATAGTTCCTACCCATAAGGCTGGAGTGATAATAAGGTTGTTTAAATACTCAGCACTTTAGAAAAAGGAGGCATGGGTTTTCTAGCTCTTTAGTTTTTCTGTAGGAAAAGGAAAACAATATGAACATCTTTGTGGATTGAAAGATACCCTCCTCCCTACCTGGGAAGATGGTTTCTTTCCTTGTAATAGAAGGGTCTGCCTTGTGTGGGGTTCACAAAGTAAATGTTCAGAAGATAGCTATTGACTCCCAGATTGACTTAATGAATGAGTACCATCTGTTACCCATTTCAAAAAGTATTAAAGCAAAAAAAGTAATCCAGAAACAGGTGAAATCACAGTGTACGATCAAGCATTTTAAATGAACTCAGTGTCTTTTGTTTGTTGCCTTTTGCAATACTTTTCAATGGAGTTGGTGATTGAAAATGTCCATTTGACACCTGGATGCTGACCATCTATATAGAGAGGACTAAAGATAGTTGGTATCACTACCTAAAGAGGCCAAAGGAAACTTGTGACTGTAAAAGTAAAATTTCTTCAAGGCCCAACTTTGGTGTGGTGTCAAATCCTCTGGTACGTAACCAGAAGCTGTAAAAATTAAGTCCAGAAGGACAGGCATGGAGATAAAGATTTTAACACTTGCTCCAGTAAGTGAGTCTGGTCAGGTTATCTTGTAGGCAGTTTTGTCATCATAAAATAGTAATGATGGAGCTAGAGGCATGGCTCAGGTGGTAGATCGCCTGCCTAGCAAGTGTGAAGCCCTGAGTTCAAATCCCAGGACCTCCAAAAAAATAAATAAAATAGGAATGCTGATATCTGTTCTAAACATGCTCTTCTGGGTTATGTTTAAAATGTAAGGAAGAGAGGGAGAGGGAGGGAAGGAGGGAGGGAGAAAAAGAGAAGATAGAGCAAAGGATTACAATGCAAGGCAATAGAGATCACTTGAGTGTTTTCTACTATAAGGTGAATGCACAGTGGCTTCCTTATAATGAGTTTAAAAAACAGGCAAATAGTATTTGCTCCCTTTTTTCAATGCAGTTTGACAGCACTGGGACCTTTCAGGTGATTTCAGTCCCTCCGGATGGGAACTATGAGCCACTGGAAAGACTTCGGCGCTGTACGCTTTGCTATGGTAAGACCAGAAGAGTTTGCTCTACTGAAAACATAAATGCCCAGAAAGCATTTAATTGAATCTGGCTTGATCAGAGATTTCTGGTTTGGATTGTAGATTCTATTTTCAAGTTCCCAGTTTTAGAAAACTTTGTATGTCAGGATTCTGATCTCTGTAATGTTTAGAGTTTCCATAGAGTGTAAAAAATTGGTTTAGAAAATTAGCCTTTCCTGTGGACAGGTTATTAATTTATGTTAAAAGTCTTCAAAATATCAAAAATACTTTCTAAATGATTTTAAATATGATTGTGGGATTCAGATTTGCATACTACCTAAATTTGCTTTCAACACAGACTTCAAATTATCTTCTAGTGGCCAGAAAAATATTGAGATGTTGAAAATTCCTCATTAATTTAAATTATATGAAATTGAAGTATTGATCAGATTATTAATTCTTCATAGCTAGTTATTGAATCATTGGAGGAAGATTTTAAACTACAGTGTCTTGTGACAACATTGAACCAATATTGCATCTTTCTGTGTGTTTGCAGATAAATGTTTTCCAAATACTTGTGCTAAAGAGATTTTCTTACCTGAAAATTCATACATGGATGTAGCCTTCCTCTTAGACAGCTCTAGAAATATAGCAAATGATGACTTCAAGGCTATGAAAACCTTTGTGAGCTCGGCTCTTGACAATTTTCACATTGCTTCAAACCCTTCAGTCTCAGGCTCTGGTGATAGGATTGCCTTGTTGAGCTATTCTTCCTGGAATAGTTCCAGGAGAAAGAATGGTACAGTAAAAACAGAATTCAAGTTCACAACTTATGACAACCAAGTCCTAATGAAGAACCACATCAAGAATTCCCTCCATAAGCAAAATGGAGAAGCCAACCTCGGTCACGCCCTGCTGTGGATCATGGAAAATCTCTTCCCAGGAACACCCAACCTAAGAAAACACAAGGTCATCTTTGTGGTCTCAGCTGGACAAAATTATGAGAGAAAGGAAATTGTGAGGCAGATGGCTTTGAAGGCCAAGTGTCAAGGCTATGTCATATTTGTGATTTCTCTGGGCTCTACATATGAGGAGAACATGGAAGAATTAGCCAGCTATCCACTTGATCAGCATCTGATACAGCTTGGGAGAGTGCACAAACCAGATCTGAATTATATTGTGAAGTTCTTAAAGCCATTTATACACTCAGTGAGGCGTAAGTCATTATTTGGTTTTCCTTTGTTTTAATAAGCTAGTATTTTTGATAGTATTGATAACCTAATTAATATCTTTGTCTACAGCTAATCCAAATATTTGAATTAGATGATGAGATGAGAAAAGGGTTGGGACTTACTATCCTGTTTATGATCTGTTTATCCCTTTGGTTATAAAATTGGTGAGGGCCAGGCTCATGCTTTTAATCCTGGCTACTTGGGAGGCAGATACCAGGAGGATTATGGTTTGAAGCCAGCCTGGGCAAATAGTTCACGAGACCATATCTCAAAAATATTCAACATAAAAAAGGTCTGGGGGAGTGGCTGAAGTGGTAGAGTGCCTGCCTAGTAAGTGTGAGGTGCTAAGTTCAAATCCTAGTTCCATCAAAAAAAAATTGGTGAGAAATTTCCATGGTGTAGCGTGTCTTTGGCAAAGTGTAAGCAGTAGAAGGCACAGAGTGACTGGTAGTCCCCCGAGTCAGACTTTCTAGCGACCATTAGATGATCTCTAATCTAAGCATTTAAATAAATGTTGGCATGCTATACCTGATTTATTTCCAACATTGGTACACCCAGGAGACCCGTGTGGCGAGGGAAAGATGGCACAGTGGTGTGCTGCTCCCAAAGTCTGAGCTTACAAACCACATTGGGATCCCGTGATTCTAAGTAGGTTCTGACTTGGTTTGTCTGGGGCAGATCCTGTGATTCCCCATCACAGACACCCGAATGTCCGTGCTGCTGGTACACGCATCACACGTTGAGTGGCGTGGCTGAGGCCAGTGCACTAGAGTAGTGCTCATTGGGCAGGTGCCTGTGCATAAATGACCGGTGAGGAAATAAATACGGAAATTGAGAGGGAGCATCTAGAAACTTTAAAATCAGTCTGACATTGATGCTGCAGCACACAAGTGAGTGAGCAGTGGACTCTTGTCTCACTGAAAAGATTTGGAGCAAAATTATCAGCCTGGCGAGGATTAGAAACCAAAATATAAAAATAGCTTATCCTTAACCACAAATGACTTAAGAAAACATTTTCCAGAGAATAGTTCTCAGCAGTGTGGGGGGGGGGCGGGGAAGAGGGAGGTAAGGAGGAAGAGAGCAAAGGAGGAAAGGAGTTGAGAGGGAGGGAGGGAAAGGGGGGTAGGTAGTGAGAAGGAGAGACAGAGAGACAGAGACAGAGAGACATACACGCACAGCACACAATTGGTTGATTGATTTTGCCCCAGGGGCTATTTGGGACTGTCTGGGAAAATGTTTTTGTTATCACTACTGGGGAGTGCTACATCAAGTAGGTAGAGGCTTCAGATGATGCTACATATCCTACAATTCACAGGAGAGATCTCTTTATCCCAACAAAAATAACCCAGCCCCAAATGTCAGTGGCAATATGGATGAAAATCCCTTTCTATTAGCCTACCTTCCATTGCAATAATGAAATAGCTAAAGTAATTAGCAGGGAAGGAGTAGAGGGCTATTTTAGCTCAAGGTCGTAAAGGTTCCAGCCCAAGGTCAAGCAGCTCCATTGCGTTCTGGCAATGGTAACCCATCATGGCAGAAGCATCTGGTGGAAAAAATCCACTTACACTGCGAGCCAGGAAGCAAGAGAGATGGAGTTACATAGTCCCCTTCAGAGGCACACTCCCAATGACCTAAGGACCTCCACTGGACCCACCTTGTAAAGATCCATGGCACCTCCTGAAAGTCCCACCCTGGGACCACACCTTTAACCCAGAGACCTTTGGGAAACATTTATACAAACCCTAACACGATCCTCTGGAGGATCCCACAAAATGGGAGCTGAACCTCCTATGGAAATCTGACAGGTTTTGTGCTAGATCTGCTAGGACCAGTCCCACCACCCTACAATTTCAAGGCTTCCCTGGTATTCAAGGGCTGTCCCAGCACCACTGATGCTAATATTTGAGTGTACACTCCTCACTGCTCCACCTTTCTTCTCTGACTCGTATTCAATCAGAGAGGCAGTAACCGCCCTCCAAGGAATGTTAAGAGTCTTTCCTTAAACCTACAATGTCCTCAGTTGTATGATGTAAAGAGAAAGAAACAATGCTTTTAGTTAAATTTCCATACTAACTCTCTTACTAGATTTTTAAATTTTTATAGTAACTGAAAGTTCTTTTAGATATGTTCTACCATGTGTCATTGTTGTGTGTGTGTGTGTGTGTGCATAAAAAGGAAATATGTGTGAAATAGACAGGCTGTGACTTTCCTAAGACAACTTCTCATTCATCTCTTGACTCTTGAAAGAGTCAAAAATTCAAAATTCAAAATTTTTACTTCTTGCCTCAGGTCATCGATATCCATCTTTCCCCAGACAGTACTGTTCCTTGTGCCATAAAGATTGGTGTGAATGCAGTGTTTTTCAAAGATTATAAAATAATTCAAAGCTGGTCCCTTTGGCTTCCTAAGTGGCTTGTGATTATGTAGAGCTAACTTATGTTTGACTCCCTGCTGAGCAATGTTGTTAAAAACATCTAATCTCCTGCCTTCCCACAACCACTTCATTTGTGGCAGTTACAAGATTACCAATACTTCTGAGAGCGTTTCCCAAAATGCTGGCACATTTGCTAGTCCCACGTGCACAGCAATGACAACTGTGTCACAGTTCCTGCCTGAGCAACAACTTGATCAGTAGACAAATTCTCATTTTAGACTAATGGAAAAAAGGAAATAAACGTTTATCTTAGAATTAGAGAAATGTGATTACTATGAAACCACAGCATTCCCTGAGCTCATTCAGTGAGCAAAGGCCTCTTTTAATAAAAAAAACTGTTTATCTGCCTGAATGAGGGGGAAATTATAAACTCCCCAATATTCTACAATTTACAGAATAAGATCTGGAATCGCTTATAGGGACATAGTATTTAGAAGAGTTAGCTAAAATCTTTCCTGTGATTCTTTGCCTTATAGGAAATCAGTGTTCATTGGTGTGGAAGGACAGAAATAACATCACGTAATAAAATATCTTTTTTTGGTTTGACCTACTAGTACAAGTTTGAGTGAAAAGGCTTTAGAGAATCAGACTAGACTGTCCCTTAAATTATGTTAGCCTGGGCATGTGGAAATCACATGTCTCTGACCAAATCATTAACCTTCAGATGGAAGACTTGAGATCTTTTTCTAGGACCCTAGCAATTCTTTGGTTGCTAAAACACTCTGAAATCGGTTTTGAATGGCATTTCTAGTTGTTGGAACGCTCTGTTTTCACCACAGCCAAATTCTATTGAAACCTGTTAGTAACATTTATTGCTTCAAGAGGATTCCCATTGGGATTCTTTTTCCCTAGCAAACACAATTTCTGGTTTTAAAATCAAACTGTAACTTTGTTCTCTGCATAGGAGAATTCAATCAGTACCCACCACCGATGTTGGAGAACGCCTGCAAGCGCCTTGAGTTGGAAGGAGAGGGCGAGGAGGATGGCTCTCTCCGGTGAGTTGGAAAGCTGTCATCTTTACAAGTGATTGGTAATTGACTGATGGGTCTGTAAGTGGCAAATGGGAGATCATTAGGCTAAGGAAACTAACAAGTTCTCTCAAGTAAAGGCCCTCCATATACCCCATTATCTGTAGCAGAAGTCGATATCAAACGTGCTTTGTGGTTTGACGTTATAACATCACAAGCTTTATAACAATCTTGCTTTTAAGTTCATGGTTTTCTTAGGAAAACTTCAGTCTGTACTGAAGTTCTCAATTTTTTTATTAGCATAAATTAATTGTACTAATGGATTTTGTTATGATATTTACAACATGCATGTACTTTCCAATCAAATTCACCCCATCTATATTACTCTTTCTTAACCTCTCTCTTTCGTACCCCCTCCCTTTTTTTACAGCACTGGCATTTGAACTCAGGGCCTCACACTCACTAGGTGGACACTCTACCACTTAAGCCACTCAACCAGCCCCCTTCCCAACCTCTTAAACAATTTTTTGGGTTTAATTATGCTGTTGTCATACACACACATATATATAATGTACTTTGATTATTTCCATCCTCCATCATCATCTCCTTTCCCCTACCCCTCCCAATGGTTGCTCCCAACAGTCCCCCTTTCACATTTTGTGTTCTTCTTATGATGATGACATGGTGTCTCTGTCTTTGTCTTTCTGAGCCTGACTTATCTCACTCAACATGATGCTCGCTGGTTCCATCCATTTTCCTGTAAATGACATAATGAAATTTACCTCAGAATAGAACCCACAATTTATCCTCAGTTCTCGGCAACCTCGTTTCCCAGTTCTCATCGTGAGGCACTGAGTACTAGCTGCTCTGGACTCTTGTCTGTCTTGTGTGAACTATGCCTTTCCACCCTCCTGGTCTCTGGTCAACTGCTGGGACCCTGTTCTTTCCAGTCAAATCCTAGTTATCCTTCAAGGTCCTAATTGAAGCTCTTTCCTCTTTGAAGCTGATATTTTCTCCCCATCAAAATCCTAGCCAGGCATGGTGGTTCATGCCTATAATTCCAGAACTTGGAGGCTGAGGCAGGAGGATTGTGATTTCAAGACCAACCAGGGCTACATAGTGAGTCTCAAAAAAATGCCAACAAACAACAACCAAAACTCAATAAAAAACCCCATAGCCCTCTTTTTTTTTTTTTTTTGGAATCTTTTTATGTCTCTGCTAAGGCACTTATGACTTTATACCAATGTCTTATCTCACTAAGTCTGGGGCTGCATAGGAATTATCATTTCATCCCCAAAACATTGTATAAAAGATCTCACAATATAATTGTACATGCAAATAACTTAATATTATATCTTAAATAAAAATAGAAATAATTAATGAGAACAAATCTCGACCATCAAATATGATGAGTGGCCCTTGTCTTGGTCACTCTGCAGTTCATGGAGCTTGGATCCCTAACTGCAACCTTGGGACATCCCAGGTCCATTCTTACCCATCTCCTTTCAGGTTAAAATAAGAAAAAGACATCTGGCCTCTTAGATTCATCCAGAAGCAGAATGACCAGGATTCCCCAGAATTCATGCAAGTACATGTTCTCCTTATGCTAGGTTTCATTTACTTGATAGCTCAGCAGGGAAATTTCTGGGAGCCAATACCTTCTAAAGGACAGTTCCACACTGGTGCCATGCAAAGTGGCATTCCCCAACCTGAAGATGCCACGAACTTGAATAAAGGAAAATCAATCTCTGAGACTGAATCCCTGAACACAAAACAAAGGAGTGTGCCTTCGTCAATATGGAAAACATGGTTCACACTGCAGAGGTCTCTCTGTGTTCAGCTGGATGCCTGTGATGCCCGATGACTTGGTTTCTCAACTGTTATTCTCTTGTACAACTGCAAAATTGTCATCCACACAGTGTGTTATGATGTCATTTGGCTTTCACATGGTGTGAATGTATCATTTTTGTGTTATGTCTATTTTTCCCTTACCTCATTAGCTCTCAACAGTTAAAGTAGTACTTCTGGGTACTACTATAAATGCAAACACAGACATTGAAATTGCATAAGATGTCATGATCAAGAATAGCTGTTTTGAATATGTCTTCTGTTATCTAAACAAAAACACAGGATTCTCAAATTATCAAAGAGAACTCAAACTGCCTAATGTATAAATGTTGACACCATTTTAATAGGCACTGACACCAGTGGGATATCTTTTATATAGCCTTATTCTTCTCAGAGCAGTGCTTTGTAAGTTAAACGACTGCTTTGTATGGTAACTGTATCAGTCTGAGACATAATAAAGTTTTTCTGAATAACCTCTGATTGAGTTCCTTGTCACTTATCAACCACTCTATGCAAATCAGACATGGCTTGCTCCAAAGTAATGCTTCATGGGCTACAAGCAGATGTGGGAAAAGGAAGGATAAATGGAAAATTTATCTTAGTTTTAAAAAATAATATGTATAATGAATCTTTATGAATTAATTTGTTGAAATTCACTTAGATTTTTACCACCCAATTAAAAAAAATTAAAGAACTATATTAAATTGTTGGGACTTTGTTTTTTTCTCCAAAAGTATCTAGGCTCACCTAAGACTTTCCTTTTTTTAAATATAGATTTACCACTGAGCTATATGAGGTTTCTTCAGACAAGAACAGCTTCATTGGCCAAGAATTAAATGCTGGAGGAGGCTCATCTGTGGTGTTGAAGGACAGTGGAGGCGACCATTTGGTTTATATCCCAAGCCAAATGTTAGAGCCACAGAAGTTAGTGAATAACCATAAAAAAGATCAGAAAATTGCAGAACCTGCAAGTCTCGTTTCTGGTAAGGAAATGAAAGATGATGGAAATTTTTAAGTAGCCTGGATCCTTACGATTTGACACTAGTAGAGAATCAAACAAAGGTAGTGCTGGTATCTAACACAATATTTTTTTTCAAATTCAAGATGGCGACTATGACTTCTTCTTTTAGTAAAATTGAAGAAGTAAATGGTGACTAGAGGGCTCACTGTCCAAAATGTCCTTAATATTCTTACTGAATTTAAGATTCCTTTAGAATCCAGTTTAGAAGGCTACAATGATAGAGAAGGAGGCGGTATAGAAAGTATCAGAGCAAAGAGGGGAAGGATCTCACAGCAAGACGAGAGAATTTTGGGCATCTATATTTCCCTTTGGCATGAAATCAATGACACACAATCAGATACACACAGTGTGCCTGCCTCCCTTGCTACCCTGGCCCAGAGAGCTTGACCTGTGACTTCATCAGGCAGAAGGGAGGACAGGCCTGAGTTGATGGTGTTACGTGAAGAGTTGTGTAAAGTACTGGCAACACCTCTAAAGACAAGCTTACAGAAATTATCCTGCCCAGTTCTGAGAGTTGCATGCCCGTGTGTGTATAGGTTATGCCAATGGGCTTTGCATTGTTTCTTATGGAAATTCTGAAGACATGTTATCATGGAAAGGGTTTGGGATGCCTAAGATTTTTCTATTTGTTTCCTTCTAAAAAAACAAATTCATGTGGTACCCAGGACATGCTAGGCACTGTGCAAATTTAATTTCCTCAAGAGCCTTGTCAGGTTCTTGTAATTTGTTATTTCAGTGTTTTAGGGAGTAAAACTGAGGCAGAAAAAGACTTAAGGTCACAGAGTTAGCTCTGGACAGAGACAGGACTCAAACTCCAAAGGTCCTGCCCATTGTCACTTTCTCCAATGCCTAGAGAAGAAAAGAATACAAATTTATTTTACTTACAGAATTGCTTTTAGAAGAAAACACTTATTCTCTAATGGCTTCAGTAAGAAGGAATAGCAATTTACTGAAAACCATGCTCTTTAAACCAGGTCCTTAAGTCTGTAATGAGCCTAACATGTGGGCCTTCATGTTTCAACTCCATCTTCATATCTGATGAAGGAATTAGACAGAACTGAATTCAAATCCTGATTCTACCACTTACATTCTGTGCCAAGTCATTTACCCTTCTTGGCATTTCTTGGCCAAGTCATTTATCCTTCTCCAAGCCTTAGTTTGCTCATCTGTAAAATGGGAGTGATTGTAATTCTACCCTCATAGTACTAGAAGGAAGATGCAATGAGAGAAGACCTGTGTAAGAACTGAGCCCTAGATCTGAAGCAAACCCAATGGTCAGCTAAATGCTCAGACTCAAAAAGAAAGCATTGACAACTCCGTGGCAAGTCATTTAAATAACGTTAACTTGAATAATATCAGCTAAGGTTCATATGGACAGAACCTTATACATACAGTAGTTTCAACTGTACATGTGAGTTTCTTGTGGAAAAGGCATGGTTCATTTTGACATCTGGACAAATTCCAAAGCAGACTACTGGGCAACCCCTGCAAGTCTTAAGATGTCCCACAAATGCCACAAAAGATAGCATAGCTGCCTCACAGTGCATGTAATACCAGTCCAAAAAGCTCTCCCTAAACTTCCCTTCCATCTCCCCCAAAATACCAGAGTGCACTTGGCTTTGTGGCTTACATCCTTGGTCAAAGTGAGGTTAACCTCTGGATGACTTCCCTGGAAATCCAGCCAGATGCATAATTCAAACCAAGTCTTATCCATAATAAAGTAAGCCAGCTCATCCTCTTCTGCCTTTCCAAGGAATTTCTTCCACAGAATTGGAGACAGGAATTTGGTACAGACAACATTTCTAGAAAATACAAAGCATTGCTGTGAGCTATGAGTATATTTTGTCCATATTTCTCCCAGTTTTCTGGAAGGAAAGTGTTTTTGAAATACCCATCTGCCTAAGCAAGATGATTTTAGACTTAAAGTAGAATAATCACATCTTAGGCTTGACTAAATTTTAGAATTTTCAAGGCAATATGATCTACATTTAGTTTCTTTGATTCTCATGCTAATCCTGTAAGTAGAGAAGGAACCTATTTTTTAGAGATTTTGAAGATGAAATATACCTTTTTTAGGAAATAGTTTTACCAGGTACTTTGGGAAAGATTGAGATTTTGCTCATTTATAAAAGGAAAGCTTGAAAAAACAGTGATATTTCTGGCATGGGGCATGTATGAGAAAATATTCCCCCACCACAGTAGGGCTTACCTTTCTAAGGAAACTGAAATGATGTAGTTGGAAAGCAGAGGTCTTGGTGACAGAGTAGATAAGGGTTAGTCAAGTGCAGAATCGCAAACTCCAAAAGGCAGAAATGCCATTTAATTAATCTTATAGTTCCTAACATACCTAGCAGTGTTTTTGGTAGTGATGTGCATTAAATAACATACACAGCGAAGAACAATAAAAGAATACACTGATGACTTCACTTCTTGTTTCATATTTAGTGGTTAAATCAGGGACCTCCATCTCCATCAGAAATTCTAGGAAGAGTTGGAGTCTGGGTTCCAGGTGGGAAATGGAAATGGAAATGGAAGGCCTATACATTCCAAACAGGCTTATGAAATGCGAAATCCTGTTTCCATACTCACACATGTGTCAGTGAAGGAAGACTTGGTATATACAAACCCGCTTCTTAGTGCCTTGGGACAAGGAAGAGAATATGGAACATCTCAAAGATGATGTTCAATTCTCTTGTATTAGAACTATCCAAAATGGAACAAAGAAACTGAGTTTGCCTCCCAGTTGAATAACAACAAGAAAAAACATAGATTTAAACAGCAGTTTTAAGACACTGGACATTAGGAAATGAAAGACAGTGATCCTGAGAAATCAGAAACAAGTTTGGTGAATGCTACAATTGCTCCAGTTCATTGTCTTGAGTTTCCAGACCATGGTATAGAAAGGGGGAATTCAGGTGGGTCCCAGTGAACTCCAAGAGATGAGGAGACAGAGCTGAGAGTCCAGGGAGACCAAGGGGCTTCAGGTCCACAAGACAGAGGACCACAGAAGAGAGAGGCATACATGGAGAGAATCTGTAGGTGGTCTCCCTAAATTATTTAGCAGAGTACTATTAGTAAGTGCATGTAAGGAGATTACAAGAGGCTGAGGAAAGAACCTCAGCCTGAAAGGAGTGTAGAGCCATTCACTCACACAGGGCTTGGAATAGTTCCCACTAGCTGGAAAAACTCAAGATTCATTAAGTATAGGAAAGAAAATTCAGGAAGACTTTGTCTCAATAATAGGAAATAATTGGCGGTACATTGGGCACCGTTCCAGACTCACCTGACAAATCATAACAGCAACATCCAGAAAGCTCAAACTCTTCCCAGGTAACTTCACTTTCTCTCATAACAAAGCACACACACACTTACAAGAATACGAAAGTATCCCACACTCAACCATGAACATTTCATCATGTCTGACGTAAAAAGATGAAGTAACACATGACCCTAATGAAGAATTTAATCACCTGAAATCAAACCAGAGCTGGCATAGATGTTAGAATTAGCAGACAAAGATATTAAAAGCTATAACTCTATTCCATATGTTACAAAGTCAAGTAGAGCCATAGAAGACAGAAAAAGAAGAGTCAAACAGAATTTATAGAGGTGAAAATTAGACCATCTAGCATGAACAATATACTGGATGTGAGGTTTATGGTAGCTTAGATTTGGCAAAAGAAAAAAATTAGTGAACTTGCAAATGTAGCATAGAAATTACTCAAAATGAAATATACAGTGAGAAAAGGTTAAAATAAATAGAATGAGTCTCAGTGAGTTTCAATATTCCCTCCAGATATCTGATAGAAAGAGTAGGCAGAAAATAAGCAAGATTAGGGTAGACTTGAACATCACTTCCAGCCAGTTGGAAATACTTGACATTTGTAGAAAACTCTACCAACAACAGGTTGCATATTCTTTTCGAGTGCTTGTGAAACATTTGTCAAAATGGACCATTTTGTGGAATGTATGTAGACAATGCCCAAGATTTTAAAAAAATTCAAGTTCTATCAAGTATGTTCTCTGGCCAAAACAGAAATAAGTTAAAAAAGCAAACCAGGAAGATCCTTCAAAAAAAATCCCCAAGTATTTGGAAACTAAATAAAGCATGTTCAAATAATCCATGGTCAAAGAAGTAGTCAATAGCAGATTAAAAAGTATTTTGAAGTGAACGAAAATGAAAAATACACCAGAATTTGTGGGATTCCTCTAAAGCAGTACTTACAAAGAATTTTTTAACATTAAATGCCTCTATTGGTAAAGAAGAAAGGCTTCAAATCAATGACTTCAACTTCTATCTTCTTTGTTGATACTGGAGTTTGAACTCAGGATCTCACACTTGCTAGGCAGGCCACTTGAGCCACACTCCAGCTCAACTTCCATCTTAGGAACCAAGAAAAGGGAAAAGTTAAGCCCAAGGTAACAGAAGAAAATAATAAAATTTAAGAAAAATTCAATGAAATAAAAAATTAATAGAGAAAAATCAGTAAGACTAAAAGTTGTTTCTTTGGAGTCAAAAAACTTGATAAATCTATAATCAAACTCACCAGGAAAGAGGAGACACAGATAACCAATACTGGGGTTGAGAAAAGAAGCATATTCTACAGCTACTGAAAGAATAACCGGGGAATACTATAAACAATTATTGCATATATGTTAGATAGCTAAGGTAACATTCTTCATAAACATAGGTCAAAAATTCTAAATGAAATTTTTGCAGATCAAATCTGACAATAGATAAAAAGAATTAGCTGGGCGCCGGTGGCTCACACCTATAATCCTAGCTACTCAGGAGGCAGAGATCAGGAGAATCACAGTTCAAAGCCAGCCCGGGCAAATAGTTCAAGAGATCCTTTCTTGAAAAAACACATTAAAAAAAATAGGGCTGGTGGAGTGGCTCAAAGTGAAGGCCCTGACTTCAAACCTCAGTACTACAAAAAAAAAAAGTTTTTATAGCATTAATACAGGTTAATTGATTTATTATTATGAGAATTAAATAAAATGCTAAATGTAAAAGGATCTAGTAAAAGCAAAAATAGGGATCAAAACATTTTTGCCAGTTAGAAATCTACTTCTTGCTTGTTTGCTTGATTACGTTTACAAACACAGTTCTTTCATAGAAGGAAAGAATGTTGGCTATCTACTTCCTGTCTTCCTGAACTAGTGTTTCCTGTTGTGACCTTACTACCATCATTCCCATGGTTGAGGACAGGTTTCATAATCCATAGACTTAGAGTATTGTTACTTGAAGTGCTGATTTGCAACAAAATAAGCTTGTATCAGAATGTAAACTGAGGTACCATTTCCTTCACGGAGAAAGTCTTGCTCCAAAAAATTAATGTCAGTTGAACCAATCAGTGCTTAACATTAGAGTTGACTTACTTCAGCTCCTTATCTTGTCATGGGATGAAAAACTGTTTGCAGACTGGCATTTTGAGTTCCCAAATCTCAAAGTATGTCATGTCTTATATAACACTGAGAGTCTAAAATCAGTACTTGTTTATACTTGCTCTCATGACATCACCTCAAGATGAATTTTATCTACACGTGTATGAAGGTGTACGATTTTGTGCCATCAATAAATATAGCCTTAACAACTATACTTTCTCTTGGCATCATTACATATAATTATCTCCAAGTAGATGCAAATGTGAACTCCAAATTTTGGAACCATGTAGAATACATCAAAAATAGCTTTGTTTCTCATCTTGCATTATAATATTTGGAGTCAAATCCTTTTACAAAAATCTGAGATAGGATTGCAAATTGGTTTTTAATTCAACAATGTGTGTTGAATGGTAATAGTTCTCTAAGCACTGTGTGAAGACAGATTTGGAGAAGTCACTGGGAGCAAGTACTGTGATTGGTTAGTGATGTCTGCCGTGGATGTGGGAATGAAGTATGGCGACACCCCATGCCGTATATTTGCTCTTGATGGCTGGGAGTTTCAAGTTAATCCTACTCAGAAGAGTGACTTGAATAATTCTGTTACAGGGCATGAAAATCATGGCAGAAAAGAAGAATCAGGTCTTGGGTATAAGCCCAGAGATGCCTCTCTTCAAGAATATTACATGGATGTGGCTTTCCTCATAGATGCCTCTCAAAGAGTAGGAAGTGATGACTTTAAAGAATTGAAAACCTTTATAACCTCAGTGCTTGATAACTTTCACATTGCCCCAGATCCACTGACCTCCATCTTAGGGGACAGAGTGGCTGTTCTGACCTACTCTCCCCAAGGCTATCTGCCCAACTCTGAAGAATGCCCGGTCTACTTGGAATTTGATTTGGTTACTTATAACAGTTTATACCAAATGAAGCATCATCTCCAAGACTCTCTTCAACAGCTCAATGGAGATGTTTTTATTGGCCATGCTCTGCAGTGGACAATTGATAATGTCTTTGTAGGAACCCCCAACCTGAGGAAAAACAAGGTTATCTTTATAATATCTGCTGGTGAAACCAACCCCTTAGACAAGGAAGTCTTAAGTACTGTATCTTTGAGAGCCAAGTGTCAAGGCTACTCCATATTTGTGTTTTCCTTTGGTCCTATACACGATGACAAGGAATTGGAAGAACTGGCCAGCCACCCCCTGGATCATCATTTAGTCCAGCTTGGCCGGACCCACAAGCCAGATCTGGACTATATCATCAAGTTTGTCAAGCCATTTATCCATTCAATCAGACGTAAGTTGTCCAAGCTTTTCTATTGTCTTTGCAATACATTTAATGTCTCTGTGTACAGGCCATCAGCAGACTTAGTCAAACAATCCTCACTTCAGTTAAGAGTGGTGGAATGTGAGTGAGTAGGAGGCAGGGAAAAAAAATCCTAGGTCTCGTTGTCCTTGAACATGGCTGCTGCATTGTCCACGTTTCTTCTAGGAAATTCTCAAATGGGTGAAGTTTCCTTTATCCCTAATCTGTAAGTATTTAGTGTATGTCATGTTCTTGAAAGAATTATATCATGTAATCTTCTGCGTATTCCTTAAAGGAAAGTATTCATTGCTCTTTTATAAGGGAAAAAATTGGGGTTCAAAAACATTAAATAAATTAAGGGTGGGTGTGTGACACACGTCTGGGATACCAGATACTTGGGAGGTGAAGACAGGAGGACCATAGTCCGAGGCCGGCCCTGGGCAAAATCATAAGATTCTATCTGAAAAATAACTAAAGCAAAAGGACTTCGAGCATGACTCAAGTGTTAGCGTGCTTGCCTAGCAAGGTGAGGCCCTTAGTTCAATCACCAGTACCACCAAAAAAATAATTGCTTAAAAGCTCATAATAATAACTGGTAATAATAACTGGCTGGTTCTAGACTCACCCTTACACATTCTGACCCCAGAGTTATGTTATTGCCCATTAAACTATACTTTAATTACTAAGCCCTTAACAAGGTCTAGTGCTGTAATATATGCCATTTCCACCACCCTCCACCTGCTACAAGGACTGTATTTTGTTCTGTCGTAAAATAACCTTGGTTCTGACCTGAATTCTTATGAGCCATAGGTACACATATCTTCTTGAGCATCTGTCCTAGACATCTAGCTCAGACACAGACATGCAGGGACTTTTAAGAGTGTCTTTACCCAGTGGAGCTCTGAGAGTGGCTGCCCCAGCCTCTGCCCATGTGTTGAAATTTTAGACATAGATATAGTAACATACCCAAGATCTTATCACATCAAACAAGTGTTGGCCTGTGCTGGGAACCAGGAGTGGGGCAGAGACCACCATGTTGCGTGATTGTCTGTAGCTGCTGCAATTTTGCCAGGCTTTCACAGGGACTCAGGTTTTCTGGTAGCCATAGAACCCCAGGACTCACATTGCCCTCAGAAATTCTGGAATTTCAGAATTATAGTTACTAGTAGGCAAAAAACAGTGTCTTCTCCCAACCTCAAGATGGAAAAAAGGCAGGCAATTTCAATAGCTGATGGAATCTTCTAGAAAGAGTCTCCATCTCCAGGGAGAAAAACAGATGACAGGAGGAATTAATAGATATTTTTGAATTATATCATAAGCCTGAGACATACACAGTATGGAAATTTTTAATTCAGTTACTACTATGGTTCATTGACTTGATCAACAACAAGGTCTTCCAGTGTCAGAGTGCCTACTTTGCCTAGTCCCTTGTAAGATTAATTTGTGAGGAAAGGTAAGCTGGCTTTGGGTGGTAGTCACAACATGGAAGGGTAAAATTTAGACTAACGGCCTACTCTCTCTCCAGGTGCCATCAACAAATACCCCACCAAAGGCCTGAGATCCAAGTGTGACAACATTACCTTTCCCGGCCCAGAGAACCTTGGCACGGAAGACACCGCATTGTGAGTTGACAGACCTCAAAACTGGGGAATACTGCAGTTGGAAGTAGTCCTTAAGAAAATGACATGAAGCGAATGTCATTTTAGTTTTTAGAATGCAAGTTTTGGGGGAGTGTAAGTAATTCTAAATGTAAGTAATTGTGGTGGTAACACAGGTCTGGAGTCTGTGGCAGGTAGAACCATGACTTATATTAGAAGCAGCCATGTTTTCATATCTGTTATTTCTACCCAAAAGTCTCTTGTTAGTAATTATTAATAAATAACAAACTATCATAACAGATAATGCCAGAACAGAAAACTTATGTCAAATTGGAGAAGAAAAACATGAAAAAGAAAATAAAAACATTTTTATATTTATAAACAAAATACATATGGAGAGTGCAAGGTAGAATTCCTTCTGGTTTGACTTTGCAAAGTACAACCCTAAGTACTCAAAAATTCAGTGATGAAAACAGTGTGAGTTTGGAAACCTAAGCCACTGAAACAAATCTGATTCCCCTTCAGAATATTAGAAAATTGCCCCAGAGTCAGAGTCCATCCACAAACTGCATTTGAACTGTTCTAGTCACATGCATAAAATGGATTCCTGTTGTATTATCTGGCTATATTTATATCCATTCTTTTGAGGGACTTGGCTAACCACTTTTTCATCTCTTTTTCTCCATCAAATCAGTCTTATTCCTGAGGTGTATAAAATAGAGACAAAGAACAGTGACTTATTTGGTGACTTTGACTCCCAGGAGCAACATTTCTTGGTATTAGGGAACAATGATGATAATGATTCTGGGTCAGTTACGGATTTGATCCAAAAGTTGTATCTGCTCTTTTCTCCTGGGGAGTTGATGGTAACTGACAAAGAAGAGCCACGTACAGAAGAAATTCTAGCCTCAGGAAATGACAAACAAGAAAAACAAGGTAATCTTGAGTACAGTAGTTAAACATCCTGATGTCCTTTTGTTTGTTTGGATTTTCCCCTGGTGGCTTATGAGCAGCAGGAATTTATTAGAGATGACAGGACAAGAATAGAGAAGGGATTTATTACCCAGAGAGCCAAATAAGGAGGCAAGGGAGATAAAATTCCAGAAAGGCAAAAAGTGACTCAGTTGTGTTGACAACAGTCAAGTTAGAAGTAGGTGTAAAGGCTTGGTGTGGAGTCAGGGAGTGGAGAGGTGAGTGGGACATGAATGAAGACCATGGGTCCTGAGGAAGCAGGAAGAACCCCGTGACCCTGTGCAGAATCGGCGTGCGGAAGAACTGAGCAAGGAGCTCCTGAGTTAGAACATTCACGGTCTTCTCATCTAGGGATTTCTTGGTTTGCTAACTTCAGTTGTTGTGGATTTTGGAGAGGTCAAGGCTGATGTGATTCAGAGATCTGTGTGGAGGCCAAGGGCAGCTCCTTAGGCTGCGAGGGGAGGGAATGGAATGGCTAGGGACCTACAACTAACAAGAAAGTGAGAGATGGATTAACAGAATGCTAAAGTTGGCTTCACTGCAGCCATCCACAGTCCTTGAGGTGCACCTAAGTCATGTGGGAAATTAGTTTAAAGTAAATGTTCCTGGTCTATACTAAAGTTGAAAATAAGCATATCCAATGACCCCTAATTCTTCCTCCATTGTATAAACCTAGCATAAATATATATCATATATGTATTTTTTCACCAGAAGTCACATACTAGTATGTGTATAATAGCACTATTCATAGTGTCCCCCAAGTGGGAACAAAAATTCCGCCACCCATATCAACTACATCATATTCTCTGGGGTGAGACACAGGTATTAGTATTTTCTATGAAGCTCTCCAGGTGATCCCAATGTACGCTCAAGCTTGGAGAACACTTCTATGAATTCTGACTGCATCAGTTCAGTTGGCTGCCTCATAGTGCCTTGCTGCTGAAAATGATAAGATTGGGGAAATCAAAAGAGTTATCATCAAGTGAGCATTACCAATTCCTTTCTTGTTTGTTGTCATTCTTCATCATTTCTTTCCTCCTAAAGGTTTCTAGACTTTTTTGTGGTAATTAGATATCATACATCTAGAAATAGTGTCTTTAATCCTTTTCCTCACTGATCTCTAGCCAACAGCTTGATTCAGTGACATTTGGCTATACCTGCTCCATGGAGCCAATCTGAATCTCTTCAGAAAATGTCAGTTTAGTTTGTGTTTTAGTTTAATTTTTGCAGTGCTGGAGATCAAACCCAGGGCCTTATGTGTGCTGGCAAGCGCTCTACCACTGAGCTACATCCCAGTCCTCACATTTTTTTCCTTAGAATCAGGGAAGCTTAGAATTTGGAAATTGGGTGACTATGGAAATCATTGAGGTGCACTGTATCTTCTTACAGATAAGAAAATGGAGGGCACAGGCATCCCTAACATCTTTCTTAAGAATATTCACAGCCCTGAATCCAGTGCTGTGTATCACTCAATGTCTATAGAACACAAGTTTGCCTTAAATCAAGTGAGGGAAAGGAAAGTCTGAGTTGTTGAAAGTCAGCAGTGACACCCTATAAAGCTCAATGACACACCGTGTCTGGCATAAAATCACTGGTATCACCCTTAACAAGTTCCTAAGGCTGGCTATATCTTGACAACTAAAGATGAAATTCTACCGTATAAAATTATTGGCATCCACATTATTTTGCGTATCTTTTGTTTTCCCCATTTTCTGTCTAGTTTTCTTTTATACATATAGATAGGTTGTCTGCTTGCTCATTAGAATGTAGTGTAGATTTTTAAAGCACAACTGTATCTGCTTTCCCGTTATGCCAGCCCAGGACTTGTTTCTTAGTCTTTATTTTCCCATCATCTAATCTGATGTTTCTCCAAGTGTGGTTCTTAGACCGATATTAGCATCTTTTGGAAACTCATTCAAAAAGCAGATTCGCAGATCCCTTCCCAGACTTACTGAATCGGAAACTCTGGAGAGGGGCCTCCAGGTGATGCAGATGCAGGCTGGAGTCTGAGGAGCACTGGCCTCTGTGTTATGGACAATGGAGCCTCAATGAGCCTTCTTTAGTTGGGAGTCTTTTCACTGGATATTCATAGGTATTTGGGCAAAAAAAAAAAGAAATCACGCCACTGGAGATCATAGCATAATCATAAGCATGTGTCCTTTTTCTCAGGACTTTCCATTGTCCTTAATGGGTAGGTAGACATGATTCAGAGAAAGCAGCTATAGTCAAACCAGTTCAATCACAGGATGTTGTGTCAGGGAACATTTTTTTAAGGTGGTACTGGGGTTAAAACTCAGGACTTTGTGCTTGCTAGGCAGGTGCTTTGCTGCTTGAGCCCCACCTCCGGCCCTTTTTGCTCTCGTTATCTTTGAGATAGGGTCTTGCTTTTGGTCAAGACCAGCCTGCATCATGATTCTCCTATTTTAGGCTTCTGACTACAGCTAGGATGACAGGTGCTGGTTGAGATGGGGTCTCACAAGCTTTTTGTTTGGGCTGGCCTTCGATCACTGTCCTTCTGATCTCAGCCTCTCAAGTTGCTAGGATTATAGATATGAGCCACTGGTGCCCGGCTGTATTAGTGAACATTTTCTGATGTTTTATAGAAGTCATTTTGGGAAACAGTAATTGAAAGTGTGACTCTGGAACCAGACATGGATTTGAATCCTATGTCCACAATTACTGATCATGTAATCTTGGGTATGTCACTTTGCCCTCTGACTCTCCATTTCCTCTTCTATAAACTGGGGCTGATAATAGAGCTTACTTCACAGACTAATGTGAGCAGTAAATGAATGTAAGCACTTGACTTAGAGCAAATGCTTAGTGAATATTAGCTACTGTCTCCAACTATGCTATAGTGACAATGCTGATGGCCTTGGTGGAGAGAACACCTGACAAGGAATGAGGAGCCTGGGGGCTAGCTTTTGGTTCTGTTGCTAATTAGCTTTGTGATCTCTGAGGTCACCTGACGGCACTCAAGTCTCTTATGGTAATAAGGAGCTTAGGCCGTTCAGTGTTTTTCATACAGGAAAACATACCTCTGGCTCCATTGGGGGACACACACAATGGGTGAGTTCCTAAAAGCTAGACTTTAGGGTCACTTTCTACCTGAGGAATAGTGGAGGGTCTTAGTTTCTTATCTCCTTTTAGAAATGCCCTTGACTGGGGAGGTGGAGAGGTGGTTCAAACAATGTATACACATGTGAGTAAATGATAAAATAAAAATGCCCTTGACTTCACACACGCAAAAGGTACACCTTTCTGCCATTATGGTGTGTCAGCCCAGATCTAAAACCCTCCCAGGCAAGCAGTGGAGATGGGGTGGGAGTTGTGAAGGTAAGAATAAAAATAATACTGTATCTAATTAATAAATGCATTTTCAATGAGATGTTTACTTTTCACCAAAATCTAAGTGTATATGCTGCTATGATAAATTTGAATGATAATCCATCTAGACAAAATTTTAACACATGAATGCTTATAGTCATAGGAAATAAAAAAAAACCATACACACATACATATATTTATTTCCCCCTTCAGTGAAATAGGATTAGGCAAATAATAAAAGATTTTAAAGCATATAAATATATTACAGCTAGGACAAAATTGTATTGGGGAAGTGGAATGAAAATACAAGTTTAAGGAGTGAAATGAATATTTTAAAATATCTGACTTTTTTTGTGAAAGTTGGGTTTAAATTCAGGGCTTTGTACTTGCAAAGCAGGCACTTTGCTTAAGCCACACCTCCAGTCCATTTTGTTCTGGTTATTTTGCAGATAGAGTCTTCCAAACTATTTGCCTGGGCTGGCCTTGAACTGAGATCCTCCTGATCTCAGCCTCCCAAGTAGCTAGGATTACAGGCATGAGTCCTTGGCACCCAGCTAAAACATCTGACTTTTTATAATGGTGCTAGCAAGTCACGATGATATTTAGATTTCATTAGACAAGTTAAAAGAGAAATGTAGAGGCTTTATTTTTAAATGTCAGCTTTTACAGCATGTCACAAAATTATTTTAAACTACTTAAGCTCATAATGAAAGAAATTAGATGTCAACCTTAAAAAGCATAGGGCAAAGAAGAACATGATTTTTTTTTCTTTTGAGGTGGTTACTTAAGCAAAAATGTTTAAAGACACAGAGGCTGGAGCCTCTCTAAGATTTTTTCCTGGGTTAACTTCTCTTGAAGTCCGCAGGAGTTGAGAGTTTGTATGTGATCTGTTGAGCAGGTGGCCTCTTCAGAGAACCAGTAAAGGAATGGAGGAAGCAAGACAGCCAAGCAAGGGTGTCATTTCAGCAAAATCCCATAGAGGGCAGCAGAGGCCTGGCCATCAAGGGAGCTCAGGAAGTTAGGCTAAGTGCTGTCCTAACCAGAGGCAAGGGAGCTGGTCTTGCTTATTCCCTCCACCGTCTCTAGATCACTGATTGGTCAAGAAAAGGCACTAGGAAGCACGGGGTGAAGGCCACTCCAGTACTGAACCCCAGCCTTTGAAGAATAGCAGGTGCTGGTGTTGGAAGCAAAAGCTCAGATGGGGGTGCTTGGAGGAACAGGAGGGAGAAGAAAGAAGGAAAGGAATGTTATCCTTGAAATTGCTTTTAAAAAAGTTGAAGGAATTCTGAGCAGAGCTCCATCTTTTTCTTTTATATGTGCATACAATGTTTGGGTCATTTTTCCTCCACCCCCTCGCTACCAGACAGAAACTATTTTGCCCTTGTCTCTAATTTTGTTGAGGAGAGAGTATAAGCAATAATAGGAAGGACCAAGGGTTTTTGCTGGTCGAGATAAGAATGCTATACAGGGAGTTGATTCGCATTGATTTCCTGTGTGTGTGTGTTACCTTCTAGGTTAATTCTTCTTGATGTCACCTTTTCTCTAGTTCCTGGTCCCCTTCTCCTATTGGCCTCTGTCACTTTAAAGTATCTGCATTAGTTTCTCTACATTGAGGGCAACAAATGCCATCTAGTTTCTTAGGTGTCTTACCTATCCTCACCCCTCCCTTCTGTGCTCTCACCTCATCATGTGATCAAAGTCCAATCCCATTGTTGTGTTTGCCCTTGATCTAATGTCCGCATATGAGGGAGAACATACGATTTTTGGTCTTTTGGGCCAGGCTAACCTCACTCAGAATGATGTGCTTCAGTTCTATCCATTTACCAGCGAATGATAACATTTCGTTCTTCTTCATGGCTGCATAAAATTCCATTGTGTATAGATACCACATTTTCTTGATCCATTCGTCAGTGGTGGGGCATCTTGGCTGTTTCCATAACTTGGCTATTGTGAATAGTGCTGCAATAAACATGGGTGTGCAGGTGCCTCTGGAGTAATCTGTGTCCCAGTCTTTTGGGTATATCCCCAAGAGTGATATTGCTGGATCTTATGGTAGATCAACGTTTGGATTTTTATGACGCCTCCAAATTTTTTTCCAGAGTGGTTGTACTAGTCTACATTCCCACCAGCAGTGTAAAAGGGTTTCTTTTTCCCTGCATCCTCGCCAACACCTGTTGTTGGTGGTGTTGCTGATGATGGCTATTCTAAGAGGGGTGAGGTGGAATCTTAGCGTGGTTTTAATTTGCATTTCCTTTATTGCTAGAGATGGTGAGCATTTTTTCATGTGTTTTTTGGCCATTTGAATTTCTTCTTTTGAGAAAGTTCTGTTTAGTTCACTTGCCCATTTCTTTATTGGTTCATTAGTTTTGGGAGAATTTAGTTTTTTAAGTTCCCTATATATTCTGGTTATCAGTCCTTTGTCTGATGTGTAGCTGGAAAATATTTTCTCCCACTCTGTGTGTGGTCTTTTCAGTTTAGAGACTATTTCTTTTGTTGGCAGAGCTCCATCATTGTCTGTAATGTACCTTGCTTCAAACACCTGTTTAATACCAACTACTAAATCCACCATAGGTGGAATTTCAAATCATGAATACACCACCAGTGTTTTTCCACAAAGAATTTTGTCTATAGCTCCACTTACATGTTGGTCATTTATGTCTGTTATCATAATTGCCCTGAATTAGATGGTTGAAAATGGAAAAATTACTTGTGTGTGTTTCATAAGTGGCAGGTGAAGGTGTAGGCTGTCATGGAAGACAATGACACTAAGGCCGGTGTATATTTCATATTTTTGCAGATGAAGAGGGCACAAGATGATCATAACCGAAAAGAAGATATCTCTATTGACAACTGTAATTCCCTGTGGCTCTAACCAGAAAGTCTACATCATGTGTTTGGAGCAGTAAGCGGCAGGAAGTTTTCATGAAAACAATAGAATAAGCGTACCAAACTTTGTTCCCAGTCCCAGATCTGAGGGAAAAACTTTTCTAAAAGATGTCAACGAACAGACTGAGAAAGTAGAAATGATCTCATTTCTCCTGAACCTGAGGAGTTAACAGAGTCTTTTCTTTGTTAACTCTGTTTATTAATTTTGATCAGGTTTGATGATGTATTTGCCTAGAGACTTTTGTCATCGTTTTCATCCCTTGTATATCTCAAATTGGACTCTTGAGTAGAA